TATGACGGCTGTGCCAAAGTCATTGGCATAATACGAATCATAATTATAACAAGTGCATGCACACACAATGAAGTTCTTACACACATATATATATATATATATATATATATATATATATATATATACTTATATACATACACTGTGTTCTTCGGTCGATTAAGTTTCGAAATTTATACCCCGTACACCGGTTCATAAAGTGGTTATATAAAATACAGGTGACATAAGATTGATAGGCATGCATTTTAATAAGCAATTTTAATTATAATAATAAGAATATACAAATAAAATACAATTTATTTTTACTTGAAAAAAAAAACTGAATTATAAAATAAATCATTTTTAATTTGCCAGCATATTTTTTAATGATTTTTGTTAAAAAATCAACAAACTATCGATAGTCAATCGGTATTTTAGCAGATCAAATCTAATTAATATGTAACACCTAGTCGGAGATCCCTGTTTATTGCATAATTAGTAGTAAATATATGTAAATTTGTTTGGTCTGCAATATTCGTGGATTATAATGCTCTACAAATGACCTGTTAAATATTTCGTATTTAGCGAATTGTTTAGTAATTAAAAATTCATTTCCTCTTTTTTGTCTATTTTACTTATTAAAAGAGTATTGAAATATTTTGCTATACTAATCAATTACTATTGTCGTTTAAGGCACTTTTTACAGTTTTAGATAACTTAGAGTAAGCCATAGGCAATTATTAATGCATACATAATTGAAACTTAATTATTAAACAGAGGATACGGATTTATAAAAATCAATAAATTATTTTATTCTTGATTTAAAACAGAAAGTATAAAGCATACAGTTTTCCAATTTTATCCAGACCAATTCGTAACCATTTTGTCCTATTTATAATAACACAAATTAATTCAGCACTTATTGAAATGACTCGGAATTCATATTCAAATACTACTTCGCATCAAATTGCCCTTCGTTTTGAAGGACAACTTTGTATGCTTAAACAAATAACCCCTCTCTTTTTAAAGGGAGTTAAACCTTAAGCGCCATACGCAACACACCAAAAGCAACTCGCGAAACACGCAAACATATTGCAAATATTAAAAAAATAGTAAAATAACCGACAAAAAATGCATTCAAAAAGTGCCCAAAAAAACAGCAAATGGTTCCATTTCTTTTTTTATTTGTTTGTAACCCATAGAGACCACGTAAAATGCCAATAAACTGCGAATGCGAAACTTTGGCTTGTGCTCTTTTTGCGCTGCGAAAAAGTTACCAGCCCCCCTTTACAAATCTGGGTTCGTGTTTGTGGAAAAACTGTTAAATCAAGCTTTATGCAGGTGTTGCTGACTCTTATGCCAGAAGACGCGGCAATTAATGATATGTGATGTGTGTGAGTGTGTGTTTTAAAAGTTGTCTGCACGCAACAAAACTATGTATTCAATTGTAATTATGCAATGAACGATGAAAATCAACTGGAGAAGCAACTCACTTCTTGGCGCCCCAAAGTATGCAACAGTTTTATGTGGCTTCCGTTCAGTGCTGCATAGCGGCAAATGAATCTGGCCAATTTCGGAATTCGCACGTCCTAAAATACTAAAAATAAATGCACTCCGAAATATTAAAGATTGCTATTTCGAGTTGTGAAATTGTTTAATTTATGAAAATTGTATGGGATTCTTCAAATGTAAAATGTAATCGCTTAAGACCTAAAATTAAAATAATTTAAGCTAGGACACAAGATTATAATACTAACGAGCAGCATCATACGGTTCCCCAAACCTTTTGCTTTATAGCTAGAAAAAAATATATATAAATACATATTTGAAAATATATTGCAATGCAGGATAGGCCAGCATATTTTTGGTAACTTCAGTTAATTAAGGAGCGCATAGTAAGCTTAAAGAGAATGGTAACAACAGCAAGGAAAATGGCCCAATGCCAGCTGATTCTAACGTTAGAATGAGATACGTGGCTGCCCAATACTGGCACCATCACCAACACTAATACTTGTGCATCCATTGCCAGTATATAGATAGATGCATACAATTGCCCAAAATGTGGAACAAGCACAGACACTGCGGCGTTATCATTGCACATTTCACTGTTTGGTGTAACAATTACAGCAAAGCCAACAACAACAATTGGCACACATTCAAAATTGCCAGCAGCCAAAACAAGCATATTCCTGAAAACCTTGTCTCCCACCCAACCGCCTCCTGTCATAAGTTTGTGGAAATGTTTTTGATAATACTAACAAGTCACATGCTCGAATCCCATACATATATGTATATATATATATATATATATCTCTGTGCGTATGTTTGTGTTTGACTTTTTTGTGCGCCATAGGTAATTGCTTTGTTTTCGTGCAGTAAAATGACAAGACTCTAGTAAGGTTATGCATATTTCTATGTAAATGTATAAACATCTACATATTGGCAGACGCTGGGGCATTGAATTAATTTTTCGGCCACTAAAACATGTAGTTAGTCTTTTTAGTATTTTTGCTTTTGTTTGTATTTGAAAAATGCACACATAAATAATAAAGGAAATTGCATTACACAACTAAATATATGTTTTAGAGAATATTAATTGTAATAGTTACCATTATTACCATAATTAAATATGTTTTTACTTGCCCCAGGTGACATGTTTTATTAATATTTTGTATATACTCCGATATATTTTAAATTGCCATCGGGCTTCATCTTCATGGCTATACCAATTTTACACAATAATTAATATTTTATATTTTCAACATAAACACAGATTCACAGAGATTCACCAAACAAAAATAATATTTATGGAAAAATATATTTTTTAATTAACTTTAAGTCAGTGTTATCTAAGAAAACACTGGAAAGACATTAGTATACAAATAATTGTTGTTCTATGTGTATATGTATTTTGTCTATTTAATTTATTAATAATTAATCGAAAATAAAACGCATTTGTTTTAAATATCAAAACCCTTTTGCATATCCATTTAATGCTGTTCAAAGAAAATTTGATCATATGTAGATGCTACATATAAATACTGTAAATAAAGTAACATTGAAGCGTGCAAAATTGTAGAGCACGCAACTCGGCTACTTAACATTTTGATTAATTAATGTTGGCTTGTTATTACAAACCAATTTAATGAATAAGGCAGACGCATGAAATGAATTTTAAATGCTAATTGCGTTTGAAAGTAATTCTCAAATGGCTGTGTGGCAGTATATGTATGTAAATACCTCATTAACGGACATTCTAAAAAAAAAGTATATGTTGCACTCACAAACACACATACTCTTAAACAAATGCATGAATGAATGGGCCTAAGTCAACAATATCGAGGGAAGTTCGACAGAGAACAAAATGCCTTTTTTTCAATTCTGTACAAGAACAGAAATTTAATTAGAAAAGACTCAAAGAAAGCTGCAAAAATCAATTTCCAACTAAACAGAAGAACAGAACAGAGAAGATATGTGGGCAACAGGCAACATATCTGTCTTCACTTTCATTTTGTCATGAGTTTAGTAACTTTTTCAATTTTTGTTACTACAGTTAATGCATCCAATTTCCTAAAGCTATAAAAAAAATACCATATAATAAAGCAAAGTTTCCAACACCTTCACAAATATCACTTTCTCATATTGCTGTTTGCTGAGAAAGTACTTAATGAAAAGACACTATCATTTTTTAAGGAAAACGAGAGCCCACTTGAAAAAAGCAATTATATGTCTTTAGATTTTGCAGTCTTTCAGCTGGATGTGCTCAATCAGACTAGCCATAAGTATTCCCTTTGAAGACTCAGTAATGTTTTCTTCTGTCCATTACCCATTTCGGTTGTACAGGGTATTAAAAAAAGTGTCAAAGCAAGTGACTTTTACATGCAGCAAACAGCAAACAGCTCATATGACTGTCACTTGTAGTTGAGAAAGAAAAAAAACGGCTGGCAGTAACAGGCTTTGGATTTGGCTTTGGAGAGCAGCAGGCGAAGATACAATTGTGTGCCAAGGCAACTCAAATTTAATGCTGTCACACAGCAACTACACAAGCAGATACTCAGATAACTGACAGCACAATGGTATTGCTCTAAGTACATCTTTTTTGCTGTTCAGCTCAGCAAATAAACCTTGGATGCAAAATGTAAAAACAAAAATCGCGAAAGTTCTTATGTTGGCAGAGCTGACCTTTTAAAAATGTTGCAGTAAAATATAAAATCATTTACAAATACAAAATGAACAACAATACTCGAAGAAGATGAAGACATAAAAATAATGAAGAAATATGTATAACCATAATCTGTACTAATATGATTGTGGTGTTTAAAATGTATCCATTAATACTCTTCAAAGTTTTCGCCATTATGGTGAATTGTCTGAATTGAGATAGTTTCATAAAAAAGTTGACACATGTCCAAATATTCATATAACCTTCACATCTCATTTTCCATACTGGAGGTGAAATTTTCGATTACCACATTTTAAGTTAGAATGCGTCATAAGAGAAACGTTCAGTATTTAGAAGCAAATTTCTACGCCCTTATTTATTTTAAGTGTACTATAAATAATGTATCCTTCCAGCTATTTCGGTTTGGGTTGCGCCCAATCAGGGACTTAAATAAATATATATTTATATATAGACACATTTGATTTGCACACATATTTAATAACCCCATGATTTAATATGCGTCAAGTAATCGTTTCGTTGGCCAAGTTGCGGTATGTTTCGATCAATCGCTGACATTTGTGGCTGCGACAATTGCATGCCACTTAACTAATTGAGGATGTAATCGATTTGCTGAGGCTAATTTATTTCGAAATGGGCACAATTAGAGACGCCCTCAAGGCAACCCAAAGCAGCCAAATCAACTGTTCTGGTTCACAGGACGAAGGCTAATTGAGAGATTTCTGTGCACGCTCATCATCAAGTGGGCGTCGTCCCAATGCAGCAACTACCAATTATCAATTCGTTATTGTGGCTATAAAAGCGACACAATCTTGAGGAAACATCAGCCAAGTACAATACGGAAATGATTCCGAAAGTCAGGAAGTCAACGCGAACCAGGGAAATCATACCTCTGGAAAGGTTTTTCCGTTACGTGAATTTCTTTTACCTGTCGATTGGCATGGTGGCCTACGATTCCAAGCTAAATAGTGACAGATGCAGTTGGCAGAGAATATTATTGCGCTGCTTTTTCATTTTTCAAATGGTCAATCTTAATGCTGCGCTCATCTCGGAATTGATCTATGTCTTCCTGGCCTTAAGTCGCAGCAACAATTTCTTGGAGGCTACCATGAACCTGTCCTTCATTGGTTTTGTGATTGTGGGCGATGTAAAAATACGTCTCATCCAGCAACAACGGAAACGAATCACACGAATTGTTCACCAACTGGATGCATTACACCCATTAAGCATTGAACAACAAGCGGACTACAAGACGGCTAAATATCTCAGTGACTACAGCAGAATAAGCAAATTTTATTTTATAGTGCATCTGATACTCATATGGAGCTACAATCTCTACTGGGCTATTTACTATTTGATCTGTGATTTCTGGTTGGGAATTCGTCGCTTTGAGCGCATGCTACCCTACTATTGCTGGGTACCATGGGATTGGAAGCGAAATTGGATCTACCAATTCATGTACGTCTCACAGAATCTGGGCGGGCAGGCGTGCCTCTCCGGCCAACTGGCGGCGGACCTGTTTATGTGTGCTCTTGCCACACTGCTGATCATGCACTTCACGCACCTGGCCACACAGATCGAACACCATGTAGCTGGCATTTTGTCAGCTGAAGAAGATATGGATTTCCTTAGCACCAGCATCATTTACCATCAGCAACTGTTGCTTCTGGGCAAAGAAATTAATAAGATCTTTGGCGTTTCGCTGCTCTGCAACTTTGCCAGCTCCTCGTTCATCATCTGCTTTGTAATTTTTCACATAACTATCGGGAGCACTATTGACAATGTCGTAATGCTGATGCTCTTCCTCTTCTGTGCCATGGTGCAGTTATTCATGATTGGCAGCTACGCTCAGCAATTGATCAATGCTGTAAGTAAAAGTCGATGGCAACATATTTTAGTTTCGATTTAATTTCTTGTAGTTGTAATAATATTATTATTCAACAACCACATTTAAATTTCCATTACCACAGAGCGAACAAGTTGGAGAAGCTGTTTATAACCATGACTGGTTTGGGGGCGAGTTGCGCTACCGCAAGATGATGATATTGATCTTAAGGCGCGCCCAGCATCCCAGTTACCTGAGAGCGACAAGCTTTCTAAGCGTATCCATGGTTACGGTGACGGATGTAAGTTCAACTTGTTTACAGTAGTCGCTCGCAAATCAACCCAATTCGATTTGAGGTAGCAAGTAATTTACAAGTCCATAGCCTAGAAAAAACTAATATAATAGAACAAAAAGTGTGCAATGCATTTGGAATATTGCATTTATATATTATGGACATATCTCAAATTTTAAAAAAATTTTGTAGAGCGACCACTGACTTATTATTTTTATATTATATCAATGCTAAAATGCTTTAAATTCTTTGCAGCTGCTTCAACTATCCTACAAGTTTTTTGCTTTGCTGCGAACCATGTATTCCGAGTAGGACAAATGTGTTTGGTGGCTTTCTGTCATTGTCGCAGACTGTGTGTGTGTGTGTGGAGCATGCGGCATGTGCAAATGACAAAATATACCCGGCAAATATACGGAAGCGGAAATAGCCAAATCATGCCAAGGCAATCTTTTACGCCAACTCCACAACAGTTGCGGCTTCTAATTAAATTAACCAACCAGCTCAATGGCGTCGCCTGTGGCAGAGCGCAAAAGCGTATCGATTATAAAAAGAAAAAAATGAAACCCGCTTCCATTGGTCATAATGAGTAGTGAAAATCCACGCTAATTTAGCTGTGGTTCATGTAACGTGGCATGCTGCACTGTGGGAAATATAGAAGCCATTTTTGTTGTTAAATGTTAACTTGCTTCGCTGCAACTACTTTGCCTATAAGGCAACAACAATTCTTCTATTTTCAATCTTAATTTAAATAATGCTTACAAAAATGTGTTATTTATATTTATTCTAACCACAATGTCAATTGAAAATCCACAAAAAGGCACTACACATTTTATTTAAAAATCCAAATATATTCGACACAAAGAAATCATGTAAGTAGTTGAGATTCTATAATATGAATAGAGAGACAGATAACTTGTAAAAACAGAGTGTTAAATATAACAGATTATAAAGTGTAGTTAAATTCTTACTTATTTAATTAAGACTCGGCGAAATATTTTCTAAAAAAAAACGATTTATGATTTTTTAATTGCAATGGTGAATTTTATAAAATGTATAATATAAAATTATATTTTTTGGGTATAAATATTATTTAAAAATTTCATGATAATTCAAATATGAAGCAGTTCGAAGCGGCATTTTATACTGGTGAAATTTATACTCATATTTTAGCATAGCAACTTTATAATATCTCATTTACAATTTTTAAATTTAACCACAGCTTAACAGCTTTTATTTTCACATTTTTTTGCTGATGTTCACATATCTGTAGAGAAATAAACACTTTTACTGCATCAAAATAAAACATATTTTGCACATAAAATCCTCATTGCCACCCATTGTGCGCAGTGGCAGTTGAAAGAGATGAGTGTACCACAAAGACTATGATTAATTTTCACCATTTCGGTTGCAGAAAACGCGCGTGAAATGCAAGATAAATCTTTGAGTGTTGGTCTAAAAATAGCGCAGAGCGTTGCTGTTATTTCCCTTGGTCAGCAGCAAGCAGCGCATCATTTGCACAGTCCTTCATTAAGCTCCAGTCATGACTGCCGTCATTTTAATTAAACTTGCACTAACATTCACCAGCACATACAGAGCCAGAGACTGGCGGACGGACACGATTGGCATTTAGGCACGCTGCCGGAGCTTATGCAACATTTAAAATTAATTGCAAAATTGGCTGACAAATTGCATTTTTATGACTGTAAAATTGAAAAGTTGACATAACACTCAGATTGAGCAGTTAGACAGAGCAAAAAAAAATAATAAAAAAGTAAAGAAAAAAGAGAGAACGTGGCTAATTACATTTATACGGCTGTCTGCACTGGCAGCCAGATAGATGGCAAAATTGAAGAATTTTTTCAATTAAAATTAGTAAAAAGCGGCAACAGCAAGAAAGTGGCACGCTCGTACGTCCTAATGCCAATCACAACAGCCAACGCCCAGCACGGCCAGAACTCGACTCCTTGGTGGAGTATAGAGGGCGTGGCTGACTAGTAGGCTGACCCAATCTAATTAGAAATACGCGCGTCACGAACTTGAATTCAACGACTCACCAATGTGCAGCCTGGCTTATGGCCAAATAGTTTCGACTAATCTCATTTGTATTTGCACTTTTCATTCGCCAAAGTTGTAAAAGTTCGACCCGCTGCGGACTAACCATATCAGCCCAGGCAAATCCGCTGACTGCCTGTCCGTTAACGTGCAGACCACAGCCGCATTTCCATTGAATGGCAAACCGCTATTAATCAAAGTAATTGCATGCGGCAAGGAGCAGCAGCAGCAATTGGCCAGGTGTGCCACAGACTTGGTCAATATTCTTAAGCCGTAAGCAAATAATTGTCGCCTCTTGCATATTGCGCTTATCCTGTCGATGCACAGACATGCACGACTTGATGTGTGCTAATGGCAGTTTCGTGTTTTTAAATGGGATTTCGTGCGTGACTTTGTTGCACGACTCGATACGACAGAGCGCGATTAACAGCGCTTTAGTCGACTTCAATATAAATTGAAAATCTTGTGGTACTAATATCATCCATTCGTATAATTACAGTACAAAAAATAAATTACAAGATTACGTACAGTTAATAGCGTCAGAATTATTGTTATTATTTTTATTTAGCTTGCATACAGATATTTTTTTAACTTAAAAGAAACGTATTTTATAATCAACAATTTTGATTCTTTTTGTGGATTAAAAAATAATTTAGTTAAAATTTAAAATTATATTTGTGTTTAATTAACTTTAAGCACTAAGCAGACAAAACAATGTATTGCCAATCATAAAAAATTTCAAACAAATATGTATTCAACATTATTAGTTATTTTCTTATTTATATATATCAAATGCAAATTTCAAATGTAAGTATATAATAATAAATTAATTAATATTATTATTTAAGGAGTACATCAATAATTGTATACCAAAGGCATTGTTAAATCCAATCAGTTCATTTTTTTGACAGCAAGAACAGAACAGGAAACGCATTCAACAAATTATTGTATGCAACAATGGTTGAAAAACAAACTTCCCTGATATTTATCTATATAGACATATTGGGCGAATAAATTAATTCGGAATTCAAACTTTGAAATATATGTTTGGCCAAAAGTTTGTTGTGCCCCAAATCTGTAAGCTGCAATCCAAGGATATATTGACTTATAAAAATGTCAATATCCATTGTGACCCAAGAAAATTGCGATTGCATCCAAGCAACTTTTTTTATTATTATTTTTTTTTTTTGTACGCAGCGTCGAGTCGTCGCTCGTTGAGAAATTGTATTTCATTTCATCAAATGAAGAGAAATTGTACATTTTTATAAGGTCAGTGAAATGAGCGTCTGTGTTGCTTGCTGGAAGCAGGGCTGGGCAAGTGCATTGTCGACTCCTTGGCGCCGCCCTGAGTCCACGTCACTTTGTCACACCGTTTACTGAGTTTGACATACGAGTATGTCTCGTATATATACATATATATTTGTATGTATGTTTTTTCGTTTCCGGATAAGGGGACAATGCCCAAATTTGGTGCATTTTTCACTGTGCCTTAAGGTCGTCGCCTGACCCATTGCTAAGCCAACTTCCGATCGAGTGCCACGCCTAAAAAAAATCACAAACACACATTCCCACACCCACCGTAAAGAAAACCCCTTTGGCAATGACTGCATTTGTCAATTCTCACTTACTTCATTTGAGCAAACACATTTGCTGCATTTCATATTTCCAGTCACGTTCTTAGCATAAATAATACACCCACACGCACACACACGTACATGTGGCATATGACTGCAAATGTATTGTGCATATTTCTATGACTTAAATAAGTCAGCTTAAAATGTAATGTAATTTTTCTCACACCATTTCAGCCCATAAAAAGTTTCGCAACAAGAAAGTTTAATACTTAAAAGTATTTTTCGACGCATTTTCCACATTCTGTTTTTTTTTTTTTTAATGCGTTGCCTAATGCGTATTTCATTTGAACAGTTTACTTATAAATCTTGAATATGCAGATTTCAGAATTATATTTGATAAGTTAACATTAGCTGAATATGATAGCTCAACATTGACAACCAGCCAATCTTCATTGCAAATATTTAAGAAACAAGTGTTTCAATGCCTATTAAAATGTTAACTTATCCATCTTATCAGCTACTTGCCATCTGAATGACTGCTTTAAGAAACATAAAAATTATAGCAGCAAAGTGAACACACAATTACAAAGATAAATACGTTTTTAGATCCTAGCGCTCGACCTCTTCTGTATATAGTAAATATACAAGCAAAAGCATTGTTAAATGAAATTGTGAATTTCATACTTGAGAACACACAAAAGAATAAAAGGAAACCAACGAAAACGACTTATTTAAATACATTTTCTTGTCGGTTTACCTACAGAGCACAAAAAAATAAAAAAAAAAAACATTTTTAAGTACAAGCGTTTATTCAAGTTTTTATTTTTGCATTTTACTGTATTTACTTCTTATTTATATTTATTCGTTTTCGCATTGTACAACTTCATGAATTAATATGAATAAAGTGTGACGACAACTTACCTTTTGAGTTACTCAAATATGAGTGTATAAGATAATTCTTTTCATCATGCTTATATACAATTATTGAAAATAGGTAGCATCTTATATTATTTTTGATTATATTATGTCATTATCAATTCTGTAGTATTTACAATTTACTTACATTTTCCTTCTAACAAGAATAAGCATTGAATCTTCCAGGCGTACATTTTCATAGCTTCATACATTTCTAAGTACTTTAAAATGTTCACTGAAACTTTGTTCACAAATAGAAACAATTGCTGAATATATATACAAAATTGACAAACAATGGTTTGATTTACCCGCCTTAGGGCGGTGTACACGCAGAAAAGTTTAAAAAACTCAAATGAAATTAAATTTAAACTTTACTTCACTTCGATTAAATGTTGATGAACTTTCACGCAAATACTTTCAACGATATCTTTTGTGGTATTTGCAATAATGGTATTATTTATTTTTAAGGATATAATTTTTCAAAAAAATTGTTAGAAGAGAAAACCAAACAATTTAAACCCCATCCGCAAGAAATTTATAATAACCGCAGAATAAACCAAATCAGCGAACGTTGCCGCAGGAATTTAAATTAAATAGATAAAGCAAAAGTTTGACATCATGATGAACTGAAATTTTATTATGCCTTTTGAAGAAAATCAATTCGTTTTTATTGAAGTAAAAGTGTAAGCTTGTAATAATTGTAATGTAAATACTATGAAAATGATTTTTAAATTTAAATCATAATTATATGTAAATTATAATCATAATTATATCAGCAATTTTTTTCATAGTTTCTCCAAATTAAAAAACCAATTCCGCTAAATTATATTTTAAAAGCTTTTTTCAAAAAGCTATAATTAATAGTTAATCTGTAAATGCTCTAAAATAATATTTACTATAAAAAAATTCAATGCGTTTAATGGACTGAAAGTTGCAATTAGAATTGAATAAGTATGTGACAAGAAAGAAAGCTTTAAAATATTGACCAACTGGTTTAAGCCTATAAAAATCTTCATTAGTTATAGTTATTTCTGGTCTTGCACTTATACCAATTTATATTGAGCATGGGCTGCAGTCAGGATTGAAACATTTTGGCTTGCCTGCTGTAAACGGTAGCATTACAAATCCAAACAATAAACATGAAACAATCGCATTACAGAACAGCTCGTAGGAGCACACACACACAGACACACATACACAAATACATAGCATTAAAGTGCTTCAGCAGCAACAACAATTGCTCCAGGAATACCAATGTGAATTTGCAGAACCACATTGCTGAAATGCAATCGCTGCTTACAGGCTTCGCCCACACCCCAACACACACAAGCCCATTGAACAAAACATAAATAAACGTAACCATCAATAGTTGTTGTTCAATTCTCAACTATTTTGCATTGGCCTGGACGGCACATTCATTTTGAAATTTATCCAAGGGATTCTGTTCAACGCTCCTAGTGCACATACGCCACGTAGTCCAAGGTCTACTCCAGACGGACTGGCAGGCAATAAAATATTCTACAAATACAATACGATACGCAAAAATAGAGTGTACACAGTCGTAAACAATCAAATCAATAATAATAGTCATTGCATCAGGCAACAAACGAACCCCTAGGCAAAATACCAACAAACATATGCATACTTACATATATACATACATATATAGGTATGTAAATCGATGATGGCTTGCACAAAATCAACTGGCATCTATTCAGAGACTTAATCTTTTGTTTAAAGCAGAGTCAGTTCGACTTAATTATGTTGCATGACAGTCTTTATTTCTTTCCACTCGATTAACTTCATTACATATTGTTGTTCTATTTTTACTAGAGATACGACTACAATAACTATATATTGGGTGAGTACCATTTTAAATATTTATAATTTACGTATGTGCTTTTTTTTCCGAAATTTCATAGTATTTGTTTGATATCTACATGCAAAAGTAGTTTAAAAGCACAGAAAAAAATGTCACTGAAATGCCATCGTCAGCCTGATGTAATGAAATAATTTCGATTGATCACTCCCATCTGAAATTAATGAAACGGCTAAAAATATATATAGTCAAACCACTAAGTATACAATACATTCTATGTAACAATACATTGTATGGTACAATACATTCTGTGGTTAAATACACGAATAATTGAATTAACCCATGGACTAAGGACTTGTTGTTGGATTTGCAAACAAGATAAAATATCCTAGTGCGTCTCGTGTTGACGATTTTGAGATACCCTATGTACTTAATCTTTGGCAGGTGTAAAATATTTACTATTTAATTATTCTGCAACTTAATGGTATTGGTCAGCTTATCTTTCAATAAGACATTTGTTACCACTATAGAAAAAAGATAGCTGTCACAATGCAATACGATTAGACTGGTAACGCACAAATGCAAATGCTGACATTTAATTACATCAACTCAGTTTGTAATTCTGATTGAGAATAGATATGCTTTATGATGGGACCAGAGATGTGTGCTGCAGTGTGTTACACATTTCAAGCTCTGCTGCAAAGCCGTAAAAAGTCTGAAGTTGATTGCAATCAAATAACAAGATTTCATACTTGTTTTCACATCAACAGCAGGGTAAATGAAAAAGTGTGTGCAAATGAAAAGGAAAATAGCAAAGGGATAGCAAGAGGATAGACACTTCGGGTTATATTCACAATTGTATTTTTTTGTTCACATCTCTTTTGTACAAGCAAATTGAAGTTTACAATGTAGCATTTGATGGACATGAAGACATGTGAGAGTTGTTTGCTTAACTAAAAATTGTTCATGCATAGCTGACGTAATAACTGTTATTTAGTGATACATGTCCGTGTCATGCTTTAAGTGCCGCTGCTCAGCCAGATGCTGTTCCAAGGCAAGCAGCATTGCATCAAGGAAATCCGATAGGGTTATCTTCTGATTCACATCAAACAGATCTCGGCTAGTGTGTTGAGCGTGTGCCAGCAGCGGTAACTTGCGCAATGTGCGTCCACTCAAACCGACACTGCGTTCTGACAGATTTGTGAGCAGACCCTCCGCATCCGCCTGATTTCCCTCCAGCTCCTCGGTTCTCACAATGCCCCTGACCATCAGTTCAGCTAACATGGACTTGTAAATTGATTTGATGGCTGCTGGCGTTGGCAGTCCAATAAACTGACGTATATCCGCGCGATCAAGAAAGGCCAAATCAATGCTTTGCGCCAAATTCGAAGTGGCCAAGATGAGCACGTTGGGACACGCCTTAATTTCATCCAGCTGGGTGAGCACTGCATTCACCACTCGCATCGCATCGCGTGGCTCGTTGCTGCTCATAGCACTACGCGCATATGCCAGCGATTCTACCTCATCGATGAGTACGCAAACCAAATTGTTCTTGTCCGTCACGAGTTCCCCAATTTTACCAAAGAGACGCGCAACCAATTTGCCACTCTCCGAAAACCACTTTGAAAACAAACTGTGGCTATTGATCTCCACAAGATGCGTGTAGGCAAAGCTGCTCTGTGTCCTGATTGACAACTTTTGGGCGAGCGCCTTGCAAAGGCTCGTCTTGCCCGTGCCGGGTGGACCATGCAGCAGGAGCAGTCGATTACAAGCAATCACATTGGTGTCCACACTATGTTGCGAGAAACTGAGAGCCGAAAGCGCAAACTTAAGCAGCTGCAATAAAAAACATAAAAATTGTCATCATTTACAAATTAACAATTGCCGATTTTGGTGAGCTTATTTTTTGGCTAATTTCCGTCTATATGTAGCAATACAAATAAGACAGCTTGCAGCATGCTGTAGCTGTATAGGTCAGAGTTCGGTAGGTGGGATCACTAGGGGATATAGCTGTCCTATGAAATTTCATCTCTTAATCAAGCTTATCAGTTATTAATGTTATTGTGCTCCTAGCAACTTGACCACATTTTAGCAGCACTGGAATACAACGTCTAGGGGCCTTTGCGGCTCTTGGATGCTCGAATGACACACACATATATACTGTTTAGCATACCTTTTCCTTCAATCCCTCTTCATATATTAAATTCTCCCAGAGACCAGAAAGCTCAGTGGCAGGCAGCAGGACGTGATTTGCAGCTATCACACAGTCATTGCCATCTGCATCGCCATCGCCGCTGCCATCGAAAAGACCGGCGTCTGAACGCATCTCTGGGCGCTGCGTCATGTAGAAATGATACACGAATTTAAACTTATTTTGATCTGGCAGCTGCATGGTGCCATTTTCGCCGTTCTCCCTCTCCAGCAGTATACTTTCCACCGTAGGAATGTGCGTGTCCGGCGTGAAAGCGCGATTCCAGCGAAACGATTTTAATGCTTGCAGGTACTCATTTAATTTGGGCTCGATTGCAGCTCGAAGAGCCTGCAATCGCCTGTAAAATAATAAAAATAAGAGTGTCTACCGCAATGCAACATGTTAGACTCACTGGTCGCTGCGGTGCAAACGCACTTCGACGTACACCGTATTGCAGCTGCTTAAAAAACTCATTTAATTTTTGCTTGTGTGAGCAACGCGCCGAATTGAAAGGAAGTTTTAAAGAATGCCAATGCAAAAGCCAATGTGACCGAACTTTGGCAGCTGCAAAATAGTTGCAATACAATAATAATCGATAGTTGTGCTAAACCGCAACAGCAAATAAAATGGAAAACATTTATTGTGGTATTTTGACTAGCTTTAGTATTTAATCGTTGACTCCAAGAAATACTTGTTAAACTTGCGCCAACCAAATCGCATCTTCGGATCTTTTTTACTCCATGACGGCGCCAGATTGGGCATCAAGCCCGCTTTCTGAGCCATGGTAACTAAAGTGCCCATTTTCTTCTGCTGTCGGTGACACAATTTGGTTATGCGCCTTGGCAACATGCAGCCGTCGGAGCGCACATATTGAGAAAGAATGAGCACATCCGTATGCTTAATGTCCAAGCCTAAAGTGCACTCGGGGCAAAAGGTGCTGTCGCATGCCGGTTTCAGCATCTTGTCCAGACGGGGTGAAACCACATCGACTCCCTCGTAGACAAGTGCATTGCTTTCCCGCTTCTCGTGTACTGAAAAACAAAACAATCTCAAGCAGGTTATGAAACACCCAATTGGATGTATGGATTTATACTCACTTTCTTTGATACTCAATGGAGTGGTTGTCGTTAGGCTACGCGTTTGCCAAAAAGTACCGCGAAGCGTTCTGGTGGCTACTTTTAATAGTGTAGCCATTTCTTCATTAATATTTTAATGTGCGAATGCAATTGCTGCTATGCCTCTTGCCTTCTTACACTATATCGATACTTATCGATGTGCGGCAATTCGAGACTTTGTTAAGACTATCGATAGCTCTTCCAATTTGCCACACAAAACAATTAAATTCCTAGCTTAAAAATGTGTAAGTTGCTGTTTTTGTAAAGAAAACAACAAAAAGATTTAACTAATATCGAATATATGTATTGCAGTCGCATCTGTAACAACCAAAAGCACTCTGATCTCATCAATTATATCCGGCATACTCAGCTTGGTGATTTTTGCAACGCTGCGGTTCTACGCCCATTGGTTCAATGACTCCCAAATTAATATATTATTTGGCGGCTACTTGTTCTCCTGGTTATTTATACTCAGCCTCACCTGCTTATCAAATGCTGAAATGCTAATCTTTGGTCCCGATTTTCAAGCAAAACTTGTACCAGAAATTATTTTATGTTTATCGCTAACAGCAGCTGCGGCCGGCGTCGTTCATCGCGTTTGTGCGACAACAAGGTAAATCAATTTCAACGCCTCCACATTAAAAAAAAATTGTTAATAATCTTTCTTTTAGTATTCTATTCTCCCTGGTGGGATTATATTTTATGAACCGAATCTCTTCAAAGTATTACAACAATGCAGTGGTGCCCGTGGATGTACCCTTGCGAAAAAGTGGCAAAAAATATAAATAAATTCCATGACAAAATGTATTTTCAATTCAACATGTAATTTGATATGAGAAATACAATCCACAAGCTAAAAGCTAATACTTAAATGCTATGCAGCAGCTTCATTTCCCGCCTCTGAAGCTAATTCATTGCCCGCTTCTGTTAAAAAGCCAAGTATATTAAAGTCAATAAAGCGCACCAACTGAAAAGGAATTCGTTTTTTAAATATAAATGAAATAGGGACATTACCACTTACCATCAACGCGGATTTGGATTTGGATTTATCATCTTTGTGGTGCTCGTCCAGCTTATTTCGTAGCGTTTTAAACCACTCGGATATTTCGCTCTCAGTCTCCGATTGCGGTAGCTCAAATCCCCGGTAGCCGGCCTGTTTCAGAGCCGTATTATTAGTGTTAAGCGCTGCTGTCGATAATACTAGTCCAAAACTCTTCACCAAGGTGTATATTTTCTCCAGCGACCACTCATCCAGAATTGTCGCTAAATTCACCGCTTTTAGCATTTGCCAGATCTCTGTAATCTTACTCACAAAATTAAAGAGAAACATAAATATTTAGACAAGCTTGACATACATTTCGATATATATGCATTATAATCGGACTCGCTTTCGTCAGTTCGGAAATAAAAGCGCGCAGCAATCCAAGAGAAATCATCTTTCCCGTCTCGCTTGCCGTGATTATATGTGGTATTGCCCATAGTAAATACAACATGTAATCATAATCCGTATGATTCTCAATCAGACTGGCAGAAAATTTAAAGTTTTCTAGCAATTCACGGGTGGCGTAGTCTATCATTGTTGGCTTCAGCATATCCGTGTAGTTGAAGCAATCGTTTAAGAGTTCGAGATGCTGATTTTGTGTCTCTGGATCAGACAATAGAAGCAGCATAATGGCCGCAGAATATTGCGACGTTATCTCTTCCAAATTCAAGTCGCCCTTAAGAGCTTTACTAAAATCTGCACAGAGCTAAATTTAAATTTAAAAAAAAAAACCCAAATTAGTTTTAAATATTAGGTACATTATTTAAAATACCTTTTCCGCATCCTTCTGTGTCTCCAACGCACATTTCAGTTCACTAGAGTCATAGTACTTCTCGATTGGGTGTAATTTTGACAGTACCTCGCGTAAGACTGTAAATTTAAAATTATTAATTTTTGAATCCATCATTAAGCATTTAATGAACTTGTCAGAATATATCAGCTGTTCCTCAGCATTTTATCGATAGTATCGCACGTTTGTCTCGCATCGATATGTTTTAAAGCATCGTTGGGTTACATGTTATTGCAGCACTGCATAAGTGATTTTCACACGCTCGCAGACGGACGAACAGCTACATTTTCTTCAGTAAAACAGCTTTTTTTGTTTTAATCGTAAGTACATAACGAAATTTTGTTAAATTTTATAAAAAAATATATATATATATGTGTGTATTCTACAAATTTCGAAAAATTATATATGTATGTATTTATACATAAATGATGAAATGCGCAGTGTAGTGAAAAACGCGCTTACTCACTTATGCGCACATATATATATATATGTGTGTATTATCCGTCTGTATATGTAACTGTTAAGAAAGGTTATAAATACATATAGAGATTCTTGTGTATATATGCTCAATTGTGTGAGCATATTGAAGCAATAATGATTCATAATCAATAAAAATAATCAATTGCTTTTATAACCGGGACGGACGGACGAGTGCGACTGTACCACCATAATTTAATAAGAGCCACGAAAGCTGCGTTCGTTTTCTTTTCTTTTTTTGTGAAATGGCAAAAAAGAGAAAGCATACGGCGTGCATTGAATACGTGTAATCTTTGTATTTTTAACAATGATTTCACAATGGCTGCAAAGCCCAGACAAATAGAACCTCAAAATTTATGCTCACACAGACAAAACACTCATGCACAGACACATTTCTCTCTCTGTGTGTGTGCGTGTGTGAGTGCTGCTTGAATCATAAAATATTTGATTCAAAATGGCGCCGACCACATGTCGTAGTCGTGTTGCGTTATCGTCGGCATTCGACGACGACGAATTGTGTGTCATTTGCTTTCGGAATTTCGTTAAACAAAGTGGTGTGCGCAGAAGAGGCGCCCATACGTCAGAAAAGAAAAAAACACTTAACCAACAAAGAATTAATATGTATGTATATAGAAGTAGTCGCTTGTGATATTTATTAAAATTTGAACTTCGTGACATACGACGTACTGAATTTAAAATCAACCAAATTGTTTAAGTAAATATTCAAAACACAAACAGCAGAAATTTCTGCGATTTTCTCTCTCCATCTCCTAACAACTGTTGAGTGCGCTTGTTTGTGTGTGTGTGCGTGCGTGTCAGTATTACAGTAAATTTTTAAAAGAAAGTCTCCGCATATTTTGGCAAAATATTGGAGAATAAATTTACATCAGATCTCGTTTTGCTGCGCGCTTAAGTTTGAGGTTAAGTTTTCATATTTCTGTACGACAAGCCTGAGAGCTAACGGGCCAGATTAAAACACATATTCACAGCTCTAACCTCATAAAAATACACATACAATAGAAAAGCATTACCAAGAAAGCGCACGCTGAATCACGATCTTTGCCAAAAGTTATTTCCGTTGATTGAAAGTGTAAGTTTAAATTGTGTCGTACTCAAAGTTTCATAAACCAAGGCAACAACAAAGCCTTTATATGTATATACGATGTGTGTATATTTATTACATACACGTTGACCTCGTTTTCAAGCGTGCTGCTAGTAACAAAGTCAACGTACATATTTTGTATTTCAAATTTCTCTTTATTCTGATGTTTCTTTGCACGCTGCTTCTTCTGTAGCCGAGTTCTCGCAATTTGCCTTTCATTCGCTCTTCTGCATTATAAAACTGTAAAAAGATTATCCGCGGTGTGTGTGTGCTCGAGTATACCTATGTGTGTGTGTGCATGGGCACACAGCGATCAAGCGTACAGGCAAAGATTTTTTGTTAATTTTTTTTTTTAGGTTAGATAGCATTGAAACACGATTTAAGATTCAACGTGTAAGCGAATGTACTGAACAAATTGACCTTGCATTGCATATCACGTCATACGGTTGAACTGTGTACATTTAACAAATAAAATACAAATTTATTGAAAAATTGTTTCGCTTCTCTATATTTGTAGCAATTTATTGTATGAGTCAAAAAACTGAAAGACCAGTGCTATCGGGTCAACGCATCAAGACCAGGAAAAGAGGTAAGTTCTTGAGAGGGAAGAGTGAGAGTTGTGTGTACGTGTAGCATAATGAGCATTTTAAATAATAATAATTTGTATTTAGATGAAAGAGAAAAATATGACCCAACGGGATTCCGTGATGCGGTCATTGCTGGTCTCGAAAAAACTGAAGGCGACCTGGATCAAATCTCTAAATATCTAGACAGCGCGGGCAACAAGCTCGATTATCGTCGATACGGTGAAGTGCTGTTCGATATATTGATTGCGGGTGGTCTACTGGGTGAGTAAAAAAAAAAACCGTAACACTCTAATGGTCAAATTGTATTTAACATTTGCATTATATATTCCAGTGCCTGGCGGTTCTATATCTCAGGATGGCGAAAAGCCACGCACAAATTATTGCATCTTCGATGCACCCGAGGATATGGAGTCAATGCGCAACCATGAACAGGTTAGTAACACAAGCCATATACATTATAGTTGCTCTGAATATAATTAGAACCGGTTATTCAGCAAATCAAATTATTCAGATATATATAAAATGAATCGACATATTTTAATTGTGAGAATATTGTCATGAAAAACACAAATCAAACAATCGAATTATTTCCAAAGCTGCGATAAAAACCAGTCGGTTGTCGTATATGCATATAAATATAATTGGAAAACCTTCGCCGCACATTATTAGAACCGGTTAGTTGTACTTGTAATATAATCGGTGTCAAAATGTTGCAAAATGAAACGCCACATTTTACTTGTCTTTAATTTTTCGAAAAACTCGATCTTTAAAGATTTCTAATGTTGCGACATATATTTTTCTAAATATTTGTTAACGTATATATACTTATTTGCATTTATCTTGTAATATGAACGATTGTAATAGCCTTCGCCGCACATTATGAGAACCGGTTAGTTTTATTTGTAAAATAATCGGTGTTATAATGTTGCAAAATGAAATGCCACATTTTACTTGTCTTTAATTATTTCGGAAAACTCGATCTTTGAAGATTTCTAATGTTGCAACAGTCATTCATTTAACATATTAAAATGCATGCATTCATTGTTTTGATTATTTCACATATCTAATTGGAACCTATTTGTTTCAGGTGTTTGTTAAACTCATTAGACGGTACAAGTACCTTGAGAAAATGTTCGAAGAGGAGATGGGTAAAGTTTTGTTATTCGTAAAGGGCTTTACTCCAAGTGAACGCATTAAACTTGCGCGCATGACTGCGCTCTGGTTAGGTAAGCACAATGATTAATTAAATAATAACAATGTCTTTGTTTAATATCAATGGGGAGAAAGAAATTGAAGATTTCATATTCCCAAGCAATCACTTTATTTATTTTTATTTTTTCATCGGTCAACTGTTGCATTTTATGAGTTTTTGAGAATACGATGAGAAACTCGTCAAACAGTTGGCTAAAATTGAATTTACTCTTGGTATACTGACTCTTGCATGCAAAAATATAACCCAAATGCAAAAGCCACGAGCCCAAGGACATGTATATCATATACCTTATAGAAACTGAAAGGTTCCTGTATTAAAAAGTTATTAAATAGATTTTGCGTTTATCTTGCAGTTAATGGCTCTGTACCGCCAAACGTATTGCTGGTACTAAACAATGAGCATCTGATTAAGGATGGCATTGCACTCGAGTTTTTATTGGAGCTGTTTTTAACGTTCAAGCAAGAGAAGGGCATTGCATATCTTATTCAGGCGCTTAAAAAAGGTGGACTGGAAAGCAAGTAAGTTTCATAACATCCTCATATCAATATCATTCGGAATGTTTTCAGGAAGATCTACATGCATATCTTGTTAATCTTTAATTAATATTCCTAGAGTAATTATTTATGCTGAATTTTATGCATGTCGCAAATAAACTTTTGCTTTATTTGGGTGCACATTTTATTTCGTACATTAGCAATCAATTTATATGCCTAACGATTGCATATAATATAATGAATTTAATTGGTTTTGCTTGCAGACTTATGGACTTTTTCCCACCAAACAAACGTACTGAAGAATATTTTAAGCAAGTTTTTCTTGACAAAGAACTCAATGAGATCATTAAGTTGCATAAGGCACAGGCCAGCCAAGAGGCCAAACGTGAACTGCAGCAGACCCTCATCGATGATATTAATGACGAGAAGGCACATAATGAGATAACTGCAGACATCAAAGAGTTTGCACTGCGTACCAACATTCCTGATCATGAGATAATTGTTATTGTAAGTGGACTGGACGTCTGAGTACTTCTATATATATATCTAATATAATATTGTTAAATTTTATATTTGAAGATTTGGTCCACAATCATGTCGTTGGGTGAATGGAACAAAAAGGAGGAGCTTGTCACTGATCAAGCTGTGCGTCATCTGAAGGTATATTGCACTCTATTGAAAGCCTTCGCCTCAACGGATCGTTCAGAATTGGCATTGATATTGAAAGTGCAGGAGTTCTGCTATGAGAACATGAATTTCATGAAAGCGTTCCAAAAGATCATCTTACTATTTTACAAGACCTCGGTATTGTCCGAGGAGATCATCTTGCGCTGGTACAAGGACGGCCACTCCAACAAAGGCAAGATGCATTTCCTTGAGCAAATGCGCAAATTCGTCGAATGGCTCCAATCTGCCGAGGAAGGTTAGTATTCGATAAATATATAAAATAAATGTATTTTTATGGTTTGGCAATTTTTGAGAATGGTTTTGCCATGTGGCACTTCTTACATTGTACAAAATTGCAAAAGCAATTGGGTTTTTTGCTTGCCTCGTTGTTTTATCAATCAATAAACAATGCAGGCCAATGAAAACCTGGACAAAGGATATAAATAATTGTAGCATGTTTCCTGTTGTCACTTTTTAAGTTGGATAAAACTCCAAAAAGGTCAGAGGAAATATGCCAGAGCAAAAGAATGATTGGGTGTCCATACAACTTGATAATAGTTACATTTGGCCAATAATCGTTCGGACAAATCACAAGTAGCATATATATGTAGATATATTTTAGCAAAAAATCCATTCTCGCATACTAAATTTTTTTTTTGATTGTGCTTACCAGTGGGTAACATCATTTTTAAAGTATGCCAAAGCAAAAGAATGATTGGGTGTCCATATAACTTAATTATAGTTACATTTGGCCAATAATCGTTCGGACAAACCGATTACAAATGCCAAATTTGCAAGTGTTGTAAAGCTAATGTGTTGATTTCTTATAATTTTCAGAATCTGAATCGGATGACGAGCCAAAATTGGGCGACTAACAAATATATTATGCGCAGTTCATTATCTCGTCGACAAAGGAATACAAATCGATAGAATGAAGCCGCTACCAACTGTCAACATTATATATTTTGCATTAACAACAGCCAACCGAACTACACTCCCATTTGGAAACTATTCCTAGATGTTAACAAGACCTCCATGGACTCTGCAACGTGAAGAGAGAAAGAGAGAACCAAGCCGCAAAATTCGAAATTTACTGTACACATTTTAATAGTGTTTCAAAACTGCTTTCTCAATTTTAAAACGTGCACTTAAAAATTGTTAAATTGATTTATTTTGAGCAATATTTAAGTGTTTCACAAACAAAAACAAAATATGATGAAAACCAAAACAAAACTGGACAAATTGTTTATATATACAAGCGAAGACACACCCGACAAATCTTGTTATTTCAGTTGCATCTGAAAGCAATAACAACAAATAACATTCAATGTAATTTTTTATTTTAAAATCAGCATGAAATGATTTTAAGTGAAAAACAACTGGTCAGGACTTTTAGGTAAAATAGTAAATGCAATTTATGCAGTTAGACATCGATACACAATTTATATATATTTGAATGATAAGCAAAGACAAGAAAAAACCGGCGGACCATCTTGAAAGAGATGGAAAAAAAACAGACACATTCTTGGGAAATCACACATCTCAATTGAAAATGGGGAGGGGGGTAAAATGAATTTAAAAAAGGCAAGTGCATGGAAAAAAGAAGAAAATAAACATAAATAATATATACAATTAAAATAAACAAATGTAAAACAAAAATAGTTTTGTTTGATTTTGAAGCGAAGAAAGCATGTCTAATCTGAAATGTCTGCAAGACTTGCAATGTGGAGCAACTGGCAAAATTGATAAGCATTGAGGTTGAATGACTCGCATGTTGAGTTACTGATTAATCTGAAATGTCTGCAAGAGTTTTTACGGAATGGATTAGCATTCACGCTGGACGCGATTTGGCGAGCTTCTCAGTGAAAGAATTCTTATCTCTTTTACTAAAAGCATTTAAGAGAATTCCGAACACTTGTCTTCGGCACTTCTAAGTTGGCATACTCTTACAGAGTGGACTCAACACGCCAACATCTAACTATAAATAAAACCGACTCATAACTCAAATGAAACCATATGATTCAGCTGTGCAATGTCAATGATTATTTTCGCATAATAACACACATACTTGGTAAGTTTAGTCCGTGTATCTCTGTTGCTGATATATTGATTAGATCCAGCCGGCTCTGACACATGTACTTCCTGCAGGATATTTGCCTGGTTTAATGGAAGTAGACGCGTAGAAGCAGACGGACAGCCATGGCTATTATGTTGATTCAGCTAGTGATGCTGATCAAGAATATCAATACAGTGGTCGTTACAGACTTAAATACAAATTTATAAAACCCACTGCAATTAAGAGTCGCAACTCCACCTTTAATGCGACCAGCATTAACTACTCTCAAGCAAGCACATTTTAGGTGTTAATACTAAAGTTTGGATCGAGATGAAAATCGTGGTGGTTTCACAACTCTATCAAAGCTGCCAAGATATGTGGCTTTATGATCGCATACTTGATAATTTCCAGTTTGTTGCCTTGGCTATCTGGGAAAAGTTAGCTTTCGTTTAATACTGCTGCTAAGCTTGATTTTCAGCGCTTAAAATTAATGAAAGTGCGCAAAATATGTTTGTTTTGTTTTTGGAAATACTGTTTTTATTCAACATAAATTTTGTTTAAGTTTAAAAGTAATTTTGTTGCATTTGTATTTCGTTTTACTCGATGTTATATATGTAATAATGCATATGCTATTGGATTTTTATTGTATTTGTTGTATGCTAAATTTTTGTTTAGTTATTTTCCGTGAACACGCAAACATTAAAATACAAATATGTGTGTGTATTGTTTAGAGTCAGATATGAACAGTGCGTTATTGTTTATAGTGCAGATGTGCAGCGTCTGCGGCAGCCATATAAATTGTGACTTATAATTTCCATTTTCTTTCTTTTTGTTTTAGTTAATTTTATATATATATTTATATGTATTATATGATTTTGGAATTGGAAGCAGGTAAAACATTTTGGGCAATTATATGTTTTAACAAATTTAGCTACTTGGCCACTTGGCAATACTTCATCAACTGAGCGTGCATTAGCTGTGTATGTGTGTGTGTGTGTAACTGTGTGTATTTTCTTTCATCGATATTCACAACAACAGACATTGGTATGTGTTTTTCTTTTATGGCCGATTTATAACAACAATGTGCCAGTTGCAAGTGCACAGACGCACTTTGCCAGCGAGTCAGCGAAATGATTGCATTCACACATTTCGGTGGCAAGCTGGCAATAATGCTGATTGTGCGCCCGTGCAACTTGCAAGTGGCACCAATTAGAATTTCTAGATCCGCTGCGCCGCACATTGCACATTTAAATAATTGAATAACATGTCTAAAGAGAACTGCATAACAAAAATAACTCAGTAATCAAATAATGAATGTACAACAAAATTTACAGACAAATGCAAAAAAACAAAATCAGAAGAATATTACAAAAAAAAAAGAAGTAAAGAAACTAAATGAAAAGAAGACGCATTCGCATCGATATCAACTTAAAACGGATCGAAAAGTGTTGAAGGAATGTTATTATGATTAGCTTATATTGTTTACGCCGGTTAGTTTCATAAAAACAAACTTTAACAAACTCTTTTACGGATTTGAATGCACTTATAGAACTTGGTTTATCTGTTGAAATATTCTCTAAATTATATATGTATATTGTAATTATTGGCAAATATGTAAGTACTTGTAACACATAATGGTAGCCTACATATCTGACCAAACATTTTTCTCTTCTTTCTTCTCAGTTTCACTATAAAAAGACAACGGCAATAATAATTATAATTAATAGACACAATTTTTTTTTTGTTTTTGTTGTTAAATGAGTTCAAGAGTATGAGTTTTCTTCTTCGGGTTGTGGTATTTTCTTGTTGTTTTTCTTGTTGTTGTTGTAATAAGCTTGAACTTTGTTTGTTGGTATTGTTTTTGTTTTTGCACTTAAAGAAAAATTTAATCGGTGAATTTGCGATTAACGTTGCGGCCAAACAGGGCGTTACGAATTTCTGGCACAAGCTGCTGCGAAATCAACTCTAATCTGGACTCCAGAGTATTCGGCACCTAGACAATAAGATAAACACAGGCATAAATGATCAAAACATGTCATAAAAGTTATATTCCGTCAATACGGACCTTAATACGTCCATTCAAGGCCAACAGTTCAACACCGCCACAGGTATCGGCTGCCAAGAACTCTTTCTCATCGATGAACAACTCAACTTCTTGTCTCATTGCGGATTTGTACTGCTCAGCAGCGGATTGAAGGACTCCCCGAACGAGGGGCACATCGACTGCGCGACAGCGAAGGGTTACTTTGGGCTCCATCACCTGATACAGGCCTTGCACAATCAGTTTGTCCAGAACGGTTTTGTATTCGTTCTCGTTCTTGGTGACCTCGCCCAGACGCTTGCGTGCATCCTCGAGCACACTGCTCACATGATCCTCACGCACTTTGAGCACCTAAAAGCCAAGCGAGAGAATTTTATTTAAAAGTTACAGGATTTGTTTGTTAGCGAATTTGTTGAGCAGACCTTCAAGCGAGCCTGATTGAGCATGTTGGAGGATTGGATTTTCTTTTGCAGCTCAACCTGCTTCTCCTTCTTCTCGTAGTACTCCATAATCTTGAGACGCTGTTGCTGAACCAGGCGTCCCTTCTCAATATTGAACTCCTCCTCGGCTTTGGCATCGATCTCTTCGGCTTTCTCATTGGCCTCCTGCTCAATGAATGCCATCATATGTTTGATCTATAAAAAATGCGGTTTAATTAGTAAATTATAATAATGCATTTTTTTCTTTTATTAAAGGAAAGGGCCATAAATTAAGGGCGCCAGGTGCTGCATGAATTTTTTGAAAACAAACCTAAGAAAACGCCTCTTAAGCAAATCACATGATTTTAGTTGCTCGTACATCATTCAAATTTCTAACCGTTAATCGCTGATTCGACAACTTCATCAGCAGGTGCAAGTTACGTTGCCACAAACTTTACATATGCATTTTAATGTTTTTAACTTTTTTCGTAAGTTTATTTAAATATTTGATAAGACACGGCTGGCCAGTGCCTTAACAGCCCAGTCGTGTGACAGGGTCGACAATAGCGAGTTCGCTGTCACAGTTGTCTCGCTTTTGCACATTGCTCGGGTCTAGTGCGTGTCACATGACCAATAAGCAATTTGGCTTTTTGCGTAAAAATTGTGAGCAAACTTTACTTTTCACCCACGATAGCAAGAGACATTTGACTGTTTCTCTAAAAATATATAATAAGAGTATGCGCTATACAACTGACTTGCTCAAAATCATTGCAGATTAGATATATAAATAGTTAAATGATTGCAAAAGCTGCATGCTAAAATTCACATGACTACGGAGAGAATCCCATGACTTCGCCATCTTTCTTGCTGGCATTGAAACTGTTGTTTTATTTGGGATTGAGACAGTTCGATTGGAAATTTTGCAATTTGTTAAGAATCTTGCACAATTAATTGTGTTCCGTTTTACACTTGTTTTCTTACCTGTTTTTGTACATCAGCATCGCTCAAAGCCATCTTGACTGATTTTTCTCACTTTCCACAAAATCGAAATAGAAATTCAATAGTTCCGAAGGAATTCACGTACTACCGTGCGCCTGTAATGATTCGTAACTTAATGATCAATTTCTTAATTATACAACCGGAAAAAACACGGTGTATTAATTGTGAATTTAAGACGAGAAACGACGGAACCGAAAAATATACTTGCAGTATGAGTGCCTTCTGCTCGTCGTCTGAAATTTTCACTACCACAAATCGATCATATGATTTTACTTCGTGATGTGCAGTGCTGTAAGTCGCACAACTATCGTCCACACAAACGATTTAATCGGTATTGCTAATAAGCGATATCTACAACATTAAACCGATAGTATCGTACGATACCTATATTTTCATAACATGAATTATTTTATTTACCTCATAAGTGATATGAAATATGTTCAAAAATGGCCATTTTTTTTTTTAATATTTGAGTACATTTGCACAGTTCATCGATAGCTTTGATATCGATAGAAAGTGGCCATCTCTATCATCGGTGACTGTAGCACAGCTTTAATGTACACACGCTATTGAGTGAAAATTTGTGTTTTCGTTTGCAAATAGGAATATTAGAGTAATTAGTGAACAGAATGGAGACGCTCCTGGAGCAGCAGCGTCGTTACCATGAGGAGCGCGAGCGTCTCGTCAAACTGATGGTCGACGAGCATGCGACAAAGAAGCCCGGCGAAAAGGAGCGCATCCACAGTGAACACCGGCTAAAGTATCTGATGGAGCTGCATCACAATGCGACAACGCAATTGCGCGACCTCTACGAGGACAAGGACAATGAGCGAAAGGCCGAGATTGCCGCCCTATCCGGACCTAATGAGTTCAACGAGTTCTATGCGCGTCTGAAGCAGATCAAACAATTCTACAAATCGCATCCAGCTGAAGTCAGTGTTCCACTCTCCGTGGAGTTTGATGAGATGATCAAAGTATACAATAATCCGGATGATATGAGCGCATTGGTTGAGTTCACCGACGAGGAGGGCGGCGGTCGCTATTTGGATCTGAACGAGTGCTACGAGATGTATTTGAATTTGCGCGGCGTCGAGAAATTGGATTACATCACGTACCTCATGTCCTTCGATCATGTCTTTGACATATCACGTGAGCGTAAGAATCGGGAATTCCGCAAGTATATCGAAACACTAAACAATTATCTACACAGCTTCATACTGCGCATCCAGCCGCTGCTCGATCTCGAGGGTGAACTGGTCAAGGTTGAGCTCGATTTCCAGCGCCAATGGCTCCAAGGCACCTTTCCCGGCTGGTCGCTGAAGGAGACGGAATCGGCGCTGGCCAATACGGGCGCCCATTTGGATTTGAGCGCCTTTTCCAGCTGGGAGGAGTTGGCCTCCCTTGGCCTGGATCGTCTCAAGTCGGGCCTTGTTGCCCTCGGCCTCAAGTGTGGCGGCACTTTAGAGGAGCGCGCTCAACGGCTGTTCACCACCAAGGGCAAGAGCACCCTGGATCCGGCTCTAATGGCCAAGAAACCAAGTGCTAAGAATGCCAATGCGCAAACACGTGAAAATGCCCGTAACAAGGAAATTGCTCAACTGGAGGCGTTGCTCTATAAATATGCGGAGCTGCTGTCCGAGCAGCGGGCAGCCACCAAAGAGAATGTGCAGCGGAAACAGGCACGCACCGGCGGAGAGCGAGATGACAGCGATATTGAGGCCAGCGAGTCGGATAACGACGATGATCCGGATGCTGACGATGTGCCCTTTAATCCGAAGAATTTGCCACTCGGTTGGGATGGCAAACCCATTCCGTACTGGCTGTACAAGCTGCACGGCCTTAACATCAGCTACAACTGCGAGATCTGTGGCAATTTCACCTACAAGGGTCCGAAGGCATTTCAGCGGCACTTTGCCGAGTGGCGACATGCGCACGGAATGCGCTGCTTGGGCATACCGAATACGGCGCATTTTGCGAACGTGACACAGATCGAGGATGCGATCACGCTGTGGGAGAAATTGAAGTCGCAGAAGCAGAGCGAACGCTGGATTGCCGATCAGGAGGAGGAGTTCGAGGATTCCCTGGGCAATGTCGTCAATCGCAAGACATTCGAGGACCTTAAACGACAAGGATTGCTCTGAAATGGATATAGTTTTATGCCTAATCATTAATATACCATTTTTAAATGCAACCCCCTTCATTATCACATAAATACGCATTAGAATTTTCATAATACAAGAATTAAAAAAAATTTTTGGGTTTTCAAATATGGACAATTGGTTCTCGTCCCAGCTAGGTCGTAAAGATCATTTGGGTTATTCCTAGGCTGTTATTTTTGCATATGATCAGCACTAATGTTATAAATAAAAATACATAGACTTTTTTAATAATTAATTATTTATAGATAATAATAGATGATTTGTAATCAGGCAATTAAAATCAACTAGATATGTGTGCCTCCATTTTGAGGCCCAATTTGTCGACTGTTGCTAGCGGAAGTAGGGAAATTTTACGTGATTCCAGCTGCTGCTGTGGACTTTCGGTCGCCTGCAGCCAGGGAAATTCCTGATACTGTGCTTCGTGGCTGAGTTGAGTGAAAGCCGTTTGTGTCGTGTGAATTTGCACCTTGAATTTGGCATTGTTCCCCAATTTTGGTAATTGCTTAACGCGCTCTGCCATTTTGTACAGAGCAGCGCTCAATTGTTGCTCGTATTCGATTAAATACTGATCCTGTGTTTGCTGCTGCTTGTCGAAAACGGGTTGAATTTCCAGCAGATACCTTTCCAGATGCGCCGACTCTGTGGCATACACAATGACTTCCAGCTGCAAGTGCTGCTGAGCTGATTGCTGCAGCAAATGTTGCACTGTCTTCAGCACATTTCCAAGATAAGAGTTTAATCCGGGGAAGGCGATAATAAAAACCGGCGTGTTGTAAACACGGCGTTTTTTAAATACTTGTGCTGGATAAACGCCGCGTACGTAAAGTATGTGATTTAAAATTACTTCGATGGCTTCCACGTGAATTGCGGCACTATCTTCCAGTTCCATTCTGATCTAAGTTTACGAATTAAATCATTTCATTAGCTTCTGTAAGCATAAACACAGCCTGAGTTACCTACTAAAATATACCTTAAAAAAATAATAATCGGTCACACTTTGCAGTAGTTGAACGATTTCATAGCGAATTTACCTTGATAAATTCAGTTATTGCTTTGTTCTTTTGCAGAAATATTTCTAAACACAATATACTTAATTTAAGCGAAAACTGCCATTATGGTTTTTGTTGTTTGTATTTAGTTTGCGTTAAAAAAAAGAAAATCTTATCTAAATTAAGCAACCAGAGCAGATGCTGTGCTGGACTCGTATTTCCAATTCGGGGGCAAGACGCTCTTTGTCTTGTAGTAGCGGGCAAGGCGATGGATTCTCGACTCGACCAGAATTAAACGAAACTTGCCGTCTTTATCCTTGCGACTGCGTTCTAAATGCTTGCGGATGGCGACCGCCTTCTTGATCATATGGTACAAGTCCTCGGGAATGTCTGGCTTAAGGCCAACCGATTTCATTATGCGCAGGATTTTGTTGCCGTTCACAAAACGCACCTGAGCCACGCCATGAGAATCACGCAAAATGATACCTAAAAAAAAACCAGAGCTCAATCTCAAACATAACCTCAAACCGTCAACACAAACAATATTTACCAATTTTGGATGGAGTCAGGCCCTTTTTGCCCAGTTTCTTTATCTGTTCCTTGACATCCTCGGCATTGAGTTTCAGCCACGATGGCACCGAGCGTCTGTAGGGTAGAGCCGACTGGGAAATACCCTTACTGAAAATAAATCGTAAATTTGAGAATTGTTTTTCCGAGTAAAAAACAAACAAAAAAAAGGCAATGTTTTCGTTGCAAAATGTGCGCGCTTAATAGCCCAATTTGGAATAAAGTTCGCGTGCAGATTAATGTAAGTGCTTTCGTACATTAGGCAGATACATTTCACGCCAATTCTGGCTCATTAATCAATTGAAAATGCATTTTACCCTGGAGCGTGCATACGACCCATGTTGAGTGCTTAGTTTTTGTTACCGAAAAGAAAGTAGAGAGTCTACACGCACAGTGCAATACTGTGTTGTCAGAGTTGCTAATGGCCGTGCAACTATCGATATTTACGATATTCACACGGGACTTCAGAATGACGGATAGTATTTAATGAGCTGAAAGGTTGACAAGGAAATTCATTTCATAATGGTTGCCATTTATGCGAATTACTCAAGCTTTATACAAATTTTGAATTTTTTTTTGCTTTCGGGACAATACCAGCTTCTTGAATCGGACTTAAAAATGCGATAATCTTCCGTTGAATTTATGAAAATACGGTTAGGTGTGACCTGATCAACATAAAAATACTATCGCATGTGACCTATAGCCAGTTCAGTCAAATTTTGGGCTTACCATTCAACCCTGTGAGAAACAAGAGCTGCGCGTAAAATCGAGAAAGAGAGCAAAACAAAGTCGAAAGTACATACGTACATGCATACAGAGCTAATTGGGAAGAAAACACGGTTCGCGCCATTTCATAATCCACAAACTAAAAAAAAGTATATTGGATTCGTAACGCGTAATTAATAATTTCCGGGTTTTGTCTCAGGCCAACAGAATCTGTGTGACCACTTTGTTTGTAGAGACGCTTGGCGTGCCTCATGTCAATGTGTGTTTGTGTACCTGTGTTTGTAAGTATGTTTCTGTGGAGCATGAATAAATATACAAACTCAAATTGTTTGTTTTTTCAGATTCACATTTCGTTATTAAAGGCACAATAAAATATGGATACTGATACAGAAGATGGTAAGTGTTCCCTCCCTATCGAATTTCCTAGACGGCGTTACACACAGGCGCACACACACATTTAGCACATAAATTTGGTGTAGGCTTTACAAATGGCATGTTTATGCGTATGTGTGTGTGTGTATATATACGTTTTGTTGTTAGTGCGTTAAGTGTGATCGTTTTGGGGTCTGGTCTGCTGTTGGTCAGTTGCTTCTCTGCTCTCGCCATGAGCAACTCTCATCGCCGGCGGCTAAGCGCAGATGGGCACACATTTTACGGTGATTAAGTCAGCGTTATTTTAATAACAAAAGAAAAAAGCACAAAAAAAATTAGCACATACAACAAAAGAATTTTGGCATTCATATTCACAAATGAAATGTTTACAGATTCTGCAAACTCCAGCACTACTTCCAGTGATGTAATCAAAAGTCTGTTGGAAATAGCAAAAAGCCGACCCGCCACCAATGTGGCCAAAGCAATTTTGGCTTACCATGAGACACCGGAGCTGTCAAATCTGCTTCTTGTCATCGAGGAAGTGTCAAAGAACACAGATTTTGCAACCGATCTGCAGTTGTCGCTATGCTATGTAAGTACCCAGGGAAAAATGAATTTCTAGAAAAACAAACCACTTTGACAATTATCCTTTAGTATCTGGAAGAATTTTTGAATCAATGGTGCAACTCGAATGTGGCGCCTCGCACAAAGTGGGCTACCGTCGGCAACGTGCTGCAATACAGCATCAAAATCTATGAAATCCGTGTGGATCTCATGCACCAGGAGGTGCTGAAACAGGTATCCAAACTGCTCTTAGTCGATCCCAGCAAGGATGACAGCAACAATCAGAATGGGTAAGTTCAACTTCAGTTGCATGTGCACGCCATGTGCTCAATTCGTTTGTCGAGATCCCGACGCCCGTCGCCGCCATGCTGTCTGCTTGAGTTGTGCTTATCTGCTTATCTTATGACGCCGCTAATCGGCGCTTATCTCTTCACACTCACATTCGCCGGTTCCACTTCCTTTTCCCTCTTTCGGCTGAGTCGAGCACATGCTAAATAAAATTTTAATGATGTGACTTGAAATACAAAAAGATTATTGCAATCAAATTCAATTCAAAAGTTATTATCTGTTATTATCTAAACAGATATATTAGTTCTGGCTAACCTAAAAAGATTGCCGATAAGGAATGGAATTATATAACTAAATATTTTTCATTTTATTCTATTTACTTCTATTTATAATTATTTAACATTGTGCTTCTTTTTCGCCCGTACAGCGGCAATGAGGCTAACAAGCCGGAGGAGCCGCGCAAGCGCCGCACTAAGAAGCTCATTCAAACGGAAATCGATGCCTTTTCTTATAAATTGCAACCTCGAAAGTTCAAAACTATGTCCGAGGAGAAGCGCTTTAGTCGCGTCGGCTTTGAGACAAATAAGAATCGAAATCGTACAATTGAGCACATGTATCAGGATCATACGCCGTCCCATCTGTGGAAGTATGCTCCCATTGTGGAGCCAGGCAATGCCTACGAGCACGATGAGAAAAAGAACTACAAGCTGTTCACATATCTACCCGAGCCGAGATATAATACGCTACTGCCGGACATCCAGTTTGAGCGTCTCAATTTGATCAAAGAATATGTGAATGCGAATCATGATGTCTGCAACACTCTCAACGAGAACATGAGCAACCGGGAGTATCTGGATGAGTACATAGCTCTGGAGAATCAAATGCTCGCCTCTCGCTTCGGGGAGTTAAGTATACAGAAACGACCGCGGGATGGGCTGAATGACGAGCAGGCCAAGCGAATATGCTTTGATCAGCAAAATCAGCAGAAACGCTCCATGGAGAGTCCCGTAGAGAATTCTAAACGAATAAGACTGAGTGAGGAGTGGGACGATAGCTATGATATCAACATGGAGTTAGACGAAACTGGTGCTCCTGTCACAGAGTTGGGCGATAAGCTAAATTCACTGATGCTCTCTGATGCGTCAGATGTGAAGCTCAATGACAGCCAGTTGGACGAATGCGTGTTGAGCAGTACGCTAGCCTCGAATGAGCCTAGCTGCTTGAACAACACGTCACAGCTGGAACTGTCTGTTGATAAGATTGATAAGGACGACAGCAATGATGCTGGCATTGGCATGGAGGATCTAATTATTCCGTTGGTAACAGGTAAACTGAAGTGTGTGCAGTTTTTGCTAATAGATTCCGTCGCACTAACCATTTGAGGATAAGTTTTTTGTTAATTTTGTATATTGTAGACACAGTTGACTTACACTATTTGTTTTGATTTTATTTTATTTACGTATGTATTTCGTTTGTGCTGTGCCTGCCTGTCTGCATCCAAATGCTGTGTGCAGCTCAATCTTTTGATGACGAGGGTATTGTTCTTACAGATAATATAGAGGAGCTTCAGCGTCTGCAGTCGCTGTCGCCCAAGGTAATAATACAGGACATACTGCCCGGTGTGCCCGACAAGGCCAACCTGAGTGTGCGCGTCGACTCCGAAATGCTTGCCCTGGGTGGCATCAATGAGGTGCTCGAGGAAATTGTGAATGCGCCACGTGCGGTTCACTATCCGATCGAGCTAAATATTTTTCAGTTACCCAAGAAACCACTACTCAGACAATGTCTCTTTAAACTAACCAGCGAATTTAAGTTATTTAAACAAGCGGTAAGTATTCGTTATTAATATAATTTATTAATATTATAATAATCATATTAATCATCTTCCGCAGCGCATTCCAGTCAGACGAGTGGCTGAGCCCAAACCACCAAGAATTGTGCCTGTTGTCAACCATTCAGAATTGGAATTTGATTCAGAATTTAGTATGTTACATAAATTTGATGCGGCTTGAACATCCAGTTAATTTGCAGTTCTATTGTTTTACAGACTTTCTTGGCTTCAGACGTTCCACGTATGATTCTGGCATAGATCAGGAGGAGATTAGAGCGGAAATGGTCCATTCGCCATCGGATGATGGCATTATCGTTGATGTGGCCGTTGATGAGCCACTGGACTTAAACGCAACCGAAACTGCCCTCCAGTCTGGTGAAGCTCAACAAGTAAGAGATGTTGAGGAATTGGAAAAGGACCTGACATTGCTGGAAATTCCAATGGACACCATCGACACAACTTTAAATAAAACGGAAGCAAATGGGGACTTAGGTGCCGACGGGACGTTGCCTGAAATGCCACTGGACACCTTGGACACGACAACAGCATTAAATGAAGCGAATTTGGATGCCATCGAGACATTGCCTGAAATTCCATTGGACTTACAAGCATTGGATGAAACAGAGAACACAAGAGTGTTAACACAGGATAGTGGCTTAGGTGCCACTCTCGTGGACGCAGACCGCGAAGGCTGCGACAAAGCTAATACAGACTGGGATGATGACTACACCTACAATAGTATTGATGAAGAAACTGATGCTAGGGTGAGGAAAACATGGCATTGAGCTTCCCTCTCGTTTCCCCCTCTGAGCCAAAAGCCATCCCATAACAAGATTCTTTGTCTGTTGGCTAAGGTGACACAATCCGCAACGTGCATTGCAACCGGCAAATTCCGTTGTTGATTATACCTAGTCTCTAGTGTCTTATCAGCAGTCTGTTTTTCCTAAAGGACATAACTCGATTAACTGATTTGATTCTGTTGAAATACTCCATAAAGAATATATATTCTTGATTCGTCCGATCTCAGAGGTTATAAGAGATATAGATTCCCAATTTGGAATATTCCTTTGTATACAAGATCAAGTTTAGTTCATTTTATCGATAACTGCCCTCGTTTTCTGTGTATTTGTTTGCTTGTGTTAATCAGTAAATCGTTTTCTTATTTATTTTTTTAGATTTTTGAGTGGCATCGCCGAATGGGGCCCATACTGGAAAGGGCACATGAGCGTCAGAATTTCAGCATAGAGGATCTAAAGAAAGATCTTATAGACAAATGCGTCGAACAAGGAGGAGAAGCGACGTTCGCGGATGTTGTGCGGGATAAGGAACAAGGCGCATACTGTCGCTATTTGCTGGCAATGCTGCTGCTGGTAAGTGCCACATTAGTTGGTATTATTTGTGCATATACATATTAATCGAATTTGTGTCATAGATAAATGATGGAAATGTGGAGCCGCCAAATTCCGCACATAATAAGGAGGAACCAATTGACTTGCATCAACTCAAGATGAAATTGATCAGCACAAAATTAAAACAAATAAATCCCGAGGACGACATTGGCAACATGAATAATGCCAACGAGTCTGATACGACAACCAGCACAGCACCAGCAGCACCATCACATACACCAACACAACCAGCTAAAGCTGTGCGTCGCAAGTCATCTGAGTCTGACGCGTTTGGACCAACAAATGTAAAAATAGTGCGTCTTATCAAACCTGTGCCAAAGGCAAGCTCACGTCCAGATGATGCAGACTCTGGCATATCATCGCTGTCGGCCTCCATAGCGTCCACGTACTCCTCAGTCACGTAGCGGAGGCCGTAGGGATAGCTGCTGCCGTGTGTCCTCTGTGTGCATGCTTATGTTGATATTTGTGTTTAGTCTAGTCTAGTCTGTCGGGCAAAGATTAATACTGACGTTTGTAGATCATATGTATGCATGTACCTATCAATATGTTTTGTCAAATCAGATTTTTAATTTTACCTAACGCGAATTATTCCTTGCAGCAGAGGAGATTGCCCCGACGTCTGCCCTTTCCATGGGCATTAAAGAAAATTAAGAGGCTGCGCTGGCCGTGCAACTGACAAATGCATTTTATGCACGATTTGTTTTTTTTTTTTTTTTTTTTTTCTTAAGAAATGTACAAATTTTTAGCTATAAGAACTTTTTAAAAGAAATGCAATTTTTAGTTTTATGTAATAATAGAGCCTATTTTTAGCACTTTATGTTCTGTAGTGTAAGCCTAAAATTGAAACAGTATTATTTATTCGATTTCCTTATGCTTGAAAAACTTTTAGAAAGATTTTTTTTTTGCTTATCATTTCGCTTTACTTTATTATTTTGCTATAAATTTTACTTTTTTTTATTATTAATTTTAATTATTTCGAAGTTTTCTTATGCTTTTCATATCATTTTTAGATTATACTTTTCTTTTGGACTTTCGTTAATTTTTCATTCATGAATTCATTATTTTCTTTTCATTACGTTAATAATTAATTTTCATTATGTTTACTAATTTTCTTAATTAAAACTCTTTCAGAAGCACACGAAATTTGGAAATAATTTGAGCTATTAGTAAATACACTCCAGTACCTGATTAACTTTTAAAGAAAGTAAAAATTCTAAACATTTTAGAGAAAAAGATATATTTACAAACAATGAATGTGTAAAAAAGCAACTTTTTTTTCATAGCCTAAGAAAAAAATCAAAGAAACTAAAAATATCTGTTTTCATTTGGTTGGGAAATTGGGAAGAAGATTCTTCAATGATTTGACAATTGTCTGTTAAGAAAGTGTGCAGAAATGCTGCTGGATTTATTCATCGCGTAGACGACCAATTACATTTGAAAATTTTATTTAAAACATAATTCGATGACTATTCAGAATCGCTGCTGCCACCTGATTTGGTCTTCTCCTCGTCCTTTTGTTCCTCAGTCTTGTAATGGCGGTATTCCTTTTTGAGTTCCCACATATTTTTGTGCGGATTCTTCATGTTGTAGTCACAGACGTCCTTAAGTATCTCCTTCAGGTAACTAATGGGCTGATTGGTTATCTTGACCAGATCCTTAATATTATAGTACTGATGCTTCTCAAAGGCATGGAAAAGCATATCCATCACAGCATTCTTGTCGTCGCGAGCCTTCTTCCCTTCAGCCTTCTTGCGCTCGCGATACTCAATCTAAAACACGAAATTGGATGTGTAAAAATATACACTAACTACGAGCATTCAGTCAATCTTACATTATGAGCATGATCCTTCACTGGCTTGTAGTTCTGTACGATCTTGTCGATGGGCTGCACCCGACGTTGCGGCTCCGATGCCTTGCGTATGGACTCGAGCTTAAGTTTCATGTAACAAGTGTCGGCGATGGGACGGCACTCCAGCTTCTGCACAATGCGACCCTCCATATACAGTTTCTCGCTGTCCGGCGTCGCTGAGGCACCGGCGGCACCATTCTCCTTGCCATTGCTGGAGCCGGCCGCTGCCTCCGTCGGTGTCATGTGGGAGAAGACGCCAAGCGTCTGCTTGGTCACCTGTGACACGTCGAGCACATGCTCTGTGGGTATTTTCTCATCCGGATCCAGGGCGAGCACGGCGGGCGTCAGTGAAAGTGAGACTTGTGCTTTTTGGCCAGGCGTTTTGCTGATGCGCAGCTTGCCGACGTCCATGTTTGTGGGTGCCTTTTCCCATTTCTGTGCTATGTATTTTGGCACCTTGACTAGCCAGACGCCGCGCCCGGCATTGGACAGATCCAGGTCCTTGTCAATGATTTGCACTTTGTCCTTGTCATCCTTAGACATGTTCTGTTCTGGTTTCAAAATTAATACCTCAAAGCACAAAATGCAAATGCCAAATGTAAGCTGCACAGCTGAGGCGCAAAGGTTGCCACGGTGTTAGAAAAATGACACCATGTCAGTAGATTAAAAGGTTGTGAAAAGTAATTTGAGATTTGTGACGTCATGGATGAACACTTAAGTACATCAGGTGCTCGAAAATATTATGAGTCCAGAAAGACTCTACTTAAATATAGCTTATATACCATTCGAATTTAATCGTACAGCAAGTAAATTTAATGCTCATTTCAAAATATACATTTTAAGCATTCTGCCGCCTCAAGAAACAATGCTGCCAGCTCGCTTTACGCTACCTGACCGCATCAGCTGATGCAGATTTTACAAGCTGGATTTTTGTATCGGGGAATTGTGTGCAAACTGAGATAGATAAGTTGGGATTAGGAAATGGCACCGCCAGCGGCACGGGCGCGGTACAATGCCAACAAGGCTGACAACCAGATACTCACCAAAAAACCACCGAAACGTCTAAATGGCAAAAAAGACACCGCCGGCGACGTGTCAACCGGCAATCACAAGAAGGAGAAGAAGAAGTTCGTATATTCGATGTATTTACAAAAAAATGAATCTCTAATTTTTAAAAACATAATCATATTTTATTAGTAAACAATCATCGTCCGTTGCGCAGAGTGCGGACAAGGCACAGACGAACTCTAACCCCAACCCAATTATGCCCAGTGTACACACTGCCTTCAAAACATTTGTGAGCGCGCGCCTTTGCAGCGCCATTTGGGCGTACATTTCCGACTGTGATGAGACCTTCAACTACTGGGAACCGCTGCACTACATCATCAATGGTCATGGCCTGCAGACCTGGGAGTACAGTCCGCAATTTGGCCTCCGCTCCTACACATATCTATTGCTGCAAGGCGTGCCCGGTTGGGTGTATCAAAAGATATTCAATCCAAGTCCCATACTCATCTTTTATATGGTCCGCTGCATGCTGGGCTTTGGCTGTGCCGTAATGGAGCGTTTCATGTACAAGTGAGTATAGTTTGCAAAGCATCACTGTGTGCTTGTGTTTGAATCATTGTTAATATGGGCAGGCAAATCAAGTTGAACACATTTAATAGCTTCGACATTCTCTATTTGCAGATCCATTTGCCAGGAGTTTGGCATACACGTTGGACGCCTCTGGCTAATATTCCAATTGTTTAGTGTCGGCATGTTTGTATCCAGCACTGCGCTCTTGCCGTCCTCCTTCTCCATGTATTTTGGCTGCGCTGCCTTGGCCGCTTGGTGGCAGCAGCGCTACAGTTTGGCAATCTTTTTTACGGCTATTTCGGCGCTGTTGGGCTGGCCCTTTGCGGCACTTATTGGTGTGCCGCTGGTGTTGGAGTTGTTGATACGCCAGCGGGACTGGCGTACTTTTGTACAGTGGACGTTGATCTCTGGGGCGACAATTGCACTGCCAATGATTGCCATTGATTCGAGCTACTTTGGCAAATTGACTTTTGCGCCTCTCAACATTGTCTGGTACAATGTGTTCACCAGCCATGGACCAAACATCTTTGGCACCGAGCCACTAAGCTACTACATCATCAATGGTTTCCTCAATTTCAACATTGTTTGGGTAACTTTAAGAACACATTTAACATATATATATATATATATATATATTACTAATTGCTTTTGTATTTTTTATTTTTAGCTTATGGCACTACAGCTACCTGTTATGCTGGTGATGGACTATTTGCTTGTGCCCGCCAAGTTTAAGTCAACGCTGAATTTTCCTCGTTATATTTCGCTGGCGCCGCTGTATCTTTGGCTATTAGTGTTCTTCGCTCAGCCGCATAAGGAGGAGCGTTTCCTGTTTCCCGTATATCCTTTAATTTCGTTGTGCGGTGCCATCACTGTAGATGTCTATCAGCGCATCTTCTTTCGCTTCAAGTCGTTGGTGTTCAGGCTCAAGTTGGGCATTCACTATTTGGATCACAGCATGTTCATTGCCATCATCGTGATGGTAGCCAGCACTTTGTTAGGGCTTTCGCGCGTCTTTGCACTGTATCGCAACTATCACGCCCCCATGGATCTGATGCTGGAGCTAAATCAATTTAAGACATCGCCACAATATCGTGCGGATGAGATATATAATGTGTGTATTGGCAAGGACTGGTATCGTTATCCCGGCAGCTTCTTTTTCCCGGCTCGGAACTTCCGTTTGCGTTTCCTCAAATCTGAGTTTCGTGGCATGTTGCCCGCCTATTACGGGGAGGGGTCGAATGCCACCCAAGTGGTGCATCCATATTTTAACGATCAGAATTTGGAGAACGAGCATATGTACTTTGACTACGATCAGTGCCACTTTCTCTTGGACTTTGATGAGGGTAAATATACAACACTAGAGCCGAGTTATTCGAGACGCACCAAGGATTGGTCCATCATGAAGACTTTGCCATTCCTAATACCGGAAAAATCACACAAGGTGCTGCGTGCCTTCTATGTGCCATTCCTCACCGACAATCACATAAAGTACGGCGACTTCAATCTACTTAAGCGCAAAAAGACTCGGAATGGCAGCTAGGAAAGCCAGCGTCATGTGGCTAACCAATGATCAGACAATTAAGCCGCGATATTTCCATACAGCTGACATTATTGAAATCAAATTAATTTACTATTTCCAAATGAGTTTTGATTGTATTTCGTTTCTCTTTTTTATATTTGTATCTGATGCCGGTGAATTGTCATTGAAATTCATCTGATTTCTTTTAGTTTGTAAGCCACCACCGAATTGCTTAACTAATGTTGCAACCGTTTCTTAAAATCAAGCCAAAGCTGTAAAGATTATGCTGAATCGAATTAGAGTTTAAGGGATTAAAATAAAAGCAATGACGTTCTTAAATTTTGCAAATGCAAAAGTTGTTCTATGTCTAATTAGCTGAAAAAATGCGTATTCATTTTAGTCGCGTTTGCTAATATTTCTGTTATCAATACTCAAATGAGGAGAGAGCTTTGAAAACATTAAATTTTTTTAAGTACTGTGCATCTTAAGGGTTTGAGGACAGCTCAGATTATAAAAGAAATTTGTACTTACCACGACAAACCAATTGAAACTTAATGGCATTACTTGAAACAGCTAATTTCAGTATTAATCAAAAGGGCTTAAATATGCTATTGTAATTAATAATTATCATTCTTATTTTGGGGGCTTTTAAAAATTCAACTAGGCTGTGTTACTGTCAAGTAATACCCGCTATTATTCTAAATGAAGTATTATTGAAGTAAACGAAGTTTGCCCGATTAGTTCAATAGAATTTATTCTTAAGCTTGTCGTTAAAGTATCGTAAAAAGTGGGAAGCAAAATTGTACAATGGAATTCGCTTGCTTAGACTACAAGTGCTGGATGTTTACAATGCTATTTTTGGTCTACTACATTTACATTGGGGCCTAAAAACCTAAACGCGACTTAGACATAGACCTAGTCATTAAATCTTTAACTGTCCGTGGCCAGCAATATTTACAAGTTAACGGCGACTTTGTTCAGCTGTCCTAAAAGTAGACAGTCAAATTGTTCTCGGATGAGCCCATCGCATCCGAGGCGGTGAGTAGATTGGAACCAGCACCAATCGCATTGCCATTTGCTGTCGTTGTGATGGTGGTGACGCCACCGCCTGTGACAGCAGCTATCGTTTTGCGATTGTTGTTCTCCGGCGTCGTCTGCTGTTGCTGCTGCTGCTGCTGCTGTTGGCCCTGCTGCGAGAGGGAGTCGTGCTCGATCTCGTCCTCCTCGTAGAGTTGCCCGTTGGCCGAGGCGCGGGATACGATGCCTGGTAAGAAGACTATTTATAGTGAATGCTCTGGGCTGCTGGGGATGACTTGGGGACTCAATTTCGTTACGTTCAACTTACTGCGCACCGTTGCCGCATAGCTCTCTCGCTGACGCTCTCGTTCCCGTTCGCGCTCCCGCTCGAGCAGATTGCTGGCGGAACTGAGGGCCATGCTGCTGCTGGCACCGCTGGCCACATGATGCAGCCCATTGTTGATGGGATTGGCCATGTTGATGTTGCTGCTGGAATGCTTCATGTGTAGGACAGAGACTCCGCCGCTGGTGACACTGGCCCCATTGCCATTGCCCGCCAGCTTCTCGTGCGTCACCAGATTCGCCGAGGAGACGCTACTGTGCGCCTGGCTGTGCACACGATTCCGTCCCAGACTCAAGCCGCCGGGGCTGCTCTTGCGCTGCTTTTTGGAGCGCAGAATATAGCAGCTGAGCGCCATGATGATCAGTAGGAACAATCCCACAATCATGCCAAACATGCCCAGCATACTGCTGTTCCATGTGGACTGGGCGAGAGTCAGTCCCTCCATGGTTACACTAACCGGCACAGACGTGCTTCGCGGAGGCACGCCCGAGTCCATGGCAATGGCAATCAGATGTACCGTCGACTCATTGAGACTCTGCAACTGCTCTGGCCGCATATAAATATTGCCTGTCGCATCGATCTCAAAGAGACCCGCATGCTGCCCACGCAGCGATAGCTCCAGCTTATCATTGCGATCCCCATCCGCCGCCTCCACCTTGCCAATTAGAACGCCCTCAAAGGAATCCGTGCGCGACTGCAGCGACTGCTGGGAACAGAACAAGAAATTATAAAGCTGACTTGTAAATAAGTAATTATTATAATTAAATTATAATTATGGCATATTTAAGCTAGTCTTAATTCATTTTTCATAATGCAAGTTAAGACACAGAAAATATGTCTAATTTAGAATTAATCTCTTCCTTCTCATTGCAGCATTGCCAACTTACGCTTTTGGGCACCACAAACTCGTAATGAGTCTCCCGGAAGCGGGGCTCCCAGTCGTTGACATCAATCACTTCCAGTGTGACATCGGCTGAGGTGCTATTGGTAAGGCCATCGCTGGCAACGACCTGGAATTCGTGTTTGGTCATCTTCTCATAGTCCAGCGGCTTGGCCAGCACCAGTTCACCCAGCGATCCCACGCTAAAGAACTGTGAGTTAATTGGATCCACAATGGTGTACTTCAAATGCTTCCCTGGCTTGTTGGTGGGCAGAGCCAGGATGCGATTGCCCACCGCTGTGTCCTCCCGAATGCGCATCACGAAACGCTTCTGGACAAAGGCCAGTGTGCTGAGATCACTGTGCGTTCCCGAACGCGTTAACTGCACCGTGGTTAGTGCATAGCGATCTGGATTATCGATCTGCGTCGCTTTTACCACCAGAGTGGCTCCGTGTGTCAGATCTGCATAGCCAATGGGCGCCAGCAGCGTTATGATGCCATTGTGCGGATGCACCCGGAAGTATTTCGCATCCTGCGATTGTACAATATTATACTGAATGGGCGCACAGATGCCCTCGTCCTGATCGACGGCCTTTAGTGGCTCGGGACGCATCCGCAACTCGCCGGCTCGGCCATCGGCTGGCAGTTCAGCACTGTAGGATTCGCGCTGAAACTTGGGATTCTGATCATCCGCATCGGTGATGACAACGCGCAGCAGTGTATCCGAGTGTCGCGGTGGTGTGCCCTGATCCTGAGCACGCAGCTTGACGGTGAAGTTCTGCAACTGTTCGTAGTCGAGGGCCTTCTTTAGCACCAGTGTGCCCTCGAGCGGATTGAGAAATTGCACCAGCTCCGCATATGGACCGGGCAGCACCTGATATTCAACCGTTGAAAATGGTCCCGGCTGATCGGCATCCTCGGCGCGGGCACCTTGAAGTATGCGTGTCCCTGGCACCGTCACCTCGGATAGGGTCAGTGTGTATGGTGTGCCAATCCATTGTGGTGCATTATCATTGACGTCCGTGACGCGAACATTGACGGGAATGACGAAGCTCTGCAACAAAGAACAAAGCCAACAGCAAAAAAAAAAGAGGAAAAAATTGATTGAGTTTGGGGCGACCAGTTCAAGATAAACACCTTTTTTTTTAACAGAGCCCGGCGGCGGGCAAACAATAGGCAAAATTCTGGTCACTGACCCCAGGGCGGGTTCAAAGCGCCAACAGCTAAGGATTACGTTGGGTGCCGGTCCCCTCGCACTCTCGCCCGTCCAGTAAAACACTGCATATATTTGCATGTTCAAAGCAACCCCCAAAGCACTACGGAAGTACTAATGGCTAATTTATGGCCACTGCCTGAGACCCCAGACGTCTAACCGCAGGCAAGGCAACATCCTACTCCTTCTACTCATCATTGTCGGCACGAAGTGTAAGTAAAAGTTAAGTTGGTTTCTGTTTTGTTGATTCTAAAATTGAAATAGGCGTCGTTGTCTAAAAACTTTTCAATTGTTTATAGAGTACAAGAAATAGCCGCAACTTTTGTAGTTACCCAAAATCTCCCTCCCTTACCTTTCTTGCAGTGTGAACATTCCGAAACGTGTTTACCCAATTCCATTTAACAACCTCACTTGTACTTCGTACTCTGAGATTACGCCCCTTGTACACCACAGCACATCACGCACATTCAACGTCCAGAAGGGAGCAAGTGGAGTCCCGCTTTGATGTAGGTTAATTGGTTGCCCCATTACCAATTGCTCGAGTGCACTACACGAACGAAAGTTCTCTCCGGTGCTGAATGCGGCTAAGAGGTTCGTACCAAGAACATGTCAAAACTCTAAAATCCACTCCTGACATGGGTTAATTAAAATGGTCACTAGGTTTGACTGATTTAATATGCCGCCTATTAGTGAGTTTTTAACTAATAAAATTCCAAATAATTTATGTAGAAACTAGAATTATTGCGAATTAGAAACCCATCTAAAATCCAAACGTTCTTCGTTCGTTTTTGAATAACTTATTACTTTCATAGGCTAATATGTATAAAGACATATGTAACTTTGTGAGCTTACCGGATCCGTTGAACGTCTTCGAATGCAAATGACATTCACATAGATCGACGAGGGTCCTCGTAGACCTTCCTTATCAAGCTCGACGGACAGAGCCAAATCCTTGGTGCCCGCCACAATCTCAACGGGTGCATTTTTCTCCCTAAGGGAGAGATTAATGTCACCGGTGTCTGCCGTAGGATCACCATTTATACGCAATTTGCCAATGATGGATCCCACTGCTAGATCCTCAGTGGCTAGAAAACTCTCCGCCGAACCGCCACCCTCCAGATAACATCTCGAGTCCAGTATCGCTCCATTTGCGGCTGCAACGAAATGAAAAACAGAATCAAAGTGAAAATGTGCAATTTGCATTCTACTCTCTCGCTTTCCAGCCCAACTCTCTATTTTTTTGTGTTTTTTTATTATCTACTTTGCAAACAATTAGCGCGCTAAAAGTAAATTGCAACTAAATGGCTGCAGTGTGGGTTCCAGTGGGTTATACTGTCCACTGTCCAATGGCGAACATGTTTGCTCGTTCACTCGATACGCTCTACTAAGCTTTTGCTTATCTCTCACTCACTCTTTGTGTTTGTTTGGCAAACGGTTCGCTGCAAATCGGATGTCTGCCAAGTCCAAATGCTGTTGGCAGACGTGTTTCTGGTTTGTTTGTGAAGACCGCCACCTGCCACTCCAAGATTGTATACAGCTACACATATGTATTTTGTATAGACTTGGACTTGCCTGCTTGGCAACTGGATGAATCATGAACTGATGATTTGGTTGCTTTGCTTCAAGCTCCACTATGCAATTGTGTTACTGTGCACTGATTTAATTCAGCAACTTTCATATTAGTGACATAATAATATTGTGTCAACTGTGTAATTTCTATCATAATAATTATTCAATTGATGTAATATGTGTTTTCTTTGGAATTGTCATATGTGCACATTTCAGAAAGTATAATAAACTGCCCGCTAAATATTGCCCAGTTGGATCAAGTCAAGTTACAAAATAAGAGTATTAATCATAAATAAATTTACAAATTTGAACACTGATTTATTCAAGTTATTTAAGCTTTATCAGTCAAAAGTCGATCAGTTGCACATCTCAAAATTTATTTCTAAGTCTAGTTTCATAATTTCTATACATATTTTTTATGTAAGCCCCATGCTAAAAAAAAACCTTTTAACTTCATATACAAACATCTATATATATGAGAACATGACATAACACCTTTTTTGGTAATTACAAATCTACGAAAATTAATTAAAAGAAAAATAACAGAGCTGTGCAGTTGCTTCCCATAAAGTGTTCCGGTTATTTGTTTGGGCCTCCCCGCCCTCCTTAAAAAGTAGTTCTTACAGCCTTAGTAAATACATATGTGCTATGTGTTTGAATTAACGTTCTGGTAAGTGGTTTCAAGAGCAAAATTCAAAGGTTCACTATGTGACCCTGGCGAGAATTTCTCTTTGTGCCACAGCTGTGGACACATCTGAGTGGTTGGCGGATGATAAACTGACAGCTGTGGTGAAATCTTCTTGCTAGTTGTTGTCTCGTCTCCGTTTCAAGATCTTTATTGTAGGTTAATTGTTCTGACATTGGGCAACACATATATGAATATCGTAAGTAGACTTTCTTTGACAGTTAAATCTTTTGACAATCAGTTTAATTACAAGTTGAAATTATATTTGCAGAATTCGTTACTGAAATTTAAGCTTAAAGATAGGCTGATAAATCACATCAATACGAGTTTCTTTCGAAAGAGAATGGAAAGTGATGTACTTGGAATTTATGACTAAAACGTGCGCTTTTCTAATCTTTTAAAAATCCAAGCTCAAATTTTGTCACGTATTAAGAGAAAGGATGGATCTATGCCAGAAAGTGTGTGAGTATATTTAAACAAAACTAAGCTTTATGAATTTAATTAATCTGTATTAGGTGTTAACAAAGACCTTCGAAATAATTTCATAGTCTTTGGTCTTACAAACCCAAAAAAATGGGTTGTTTTCTTGTTATGCTTCATAAAGTAAAATATGTAATGTTGCTTTTAACTGATAATTAACTAAAATTGCATAAGTGCATGGACGCCATTAATTAGTTATACATCTTGTAAAAAGCAAAGCTAATTGGAGTCGCCACAAACATAGTACAAACATCAGCGCAAAGTTCAAATATCTCAAGCGTAAATCCGCGAAAGCAGCTGAATGATATAAAATCAAGAGTAAAGAAAATCACATGCGCATTTTCAATGCCTGAAAAGCTATTACATAAATTTCAAGTGTGTGTAGGTTGTTTTTTTTTTTGTATCCATGGATGGTGTAAAGTACAGCAACTAAATGAAAGTGACTGCAAAATAAAACATATCAAACAAATTTTTTGGGTAAGTACGTGAAAAGTTGCCTACAATAAATATTATGAATATGTGTCTGAGGCGACAGAGAAGGCTAGAAGAGTTTTTGGTACTAGAGAAAGAGATACACTTCGCTAAATGGGCAGGGAAAAGTTTCAACAACCACATCCATGAAAAACCAAACAAAGTTAAAGAAAGAAAAAACAACAAATTCGTTTGTGTGCGCTGTATTGCAATCGGTTTTTGTTTTGGTTTTCTTTGATAAAATTTCGTTCAGCCTGATGATTTTCATGAAAATGAAATGTTTCGCTCGACGTATATTTGAAAGACAAACTTTTAGATTTGACTGTGCTTCGTCGTTGTTTTGTGGCTCAAATTGTCGTAATCGTAATCTCATGGGCTGCCTGTCTGTGTCTCATTTAGAGAGTTCATAAGTTCTATGCCGCTAAACATCATAAACATCGTTCGCATACGACAAAATTTCGCAATCAATTTGTGGCACAGGTCAAGCCGACGAACCGGTAAAGAACTGTGACACTGTCATTAAAATGCTACAAGTATCAGACAGCTTGACAGACTATGGAATAGATTCTGGCCGAGTTTTAAAGAGTTATTCGCAAGCAGTGATGTATGACAATGTAATGAACCGAAATTAATGCACTAAATAGAACTGAAAACTGGAGCACTGTGGTAAATAACTTTAAAGAAGAACTACCCATGCCCAGTTGAATCGGAGCGGAGGCGCCGCTCCAGAAAAGGAAAACGCCATTTGCATAGCGGACGACCCCCCATTGAAGAGCTCCGGTTACGTTTCGCTTATCCGTAAGTCACGTAAATACTTTTATTCGTCATAAATCGTTGGACCAGAACGACGTTGACGTGTTTTTAGTCTTTATTTTTATATTTTCTTCTGTTTTCTTGCTTTTTTCTCTGGTTAAACATTTATCGAGTCTGCACGTTGCGACGTCACTTTGTCTTGGAATTTCACTATTTTTGTGCAGTCAGTTTTTCTTTCAAGTTTACCTGCGGTTAACTGCAGCTAATTACTTTGTTTGTTTTGATCATCGGCCGTATGCCAGGAAAACCAAGAGTAACGCACAAATTCCAGCATAAAACTTGAGAAATTTTAACCAAAGAATTTGCGAAAGTTTTTCAAAGAGGAACCGCTTCAGAAAATATAAATATGTACTTTAGTAATTCTTCACTTACCGCTGGCAGTCCAAGAAATTCCACAAATTGCATAGCATAGGCAATAAAGTATAATCCACATTTTGTGCCTAGTTTATCTCTTGTTGTTGTTGTTGTTTTTTAAATTATATTTATTATTTATGTATCTTAAAGCACCATATCAGCCCTGATATCAGACAGGTCTTTTCTTGTATTTGCTTAGCTTATAATTAAGCATAATTCGAGTAATTTACGCGATTTCATATACATTATTGTTTTCGGTAATTTCGCACTTTAGCTGATGGCTATTTATATGTATTTAATTTAGTTGTTATTGCTTCATTTTCTGCGTTCTCGTTGCTTCTTTTGCTTTGATTTCTATACTTTTATATCGCATGCAATTTTTCACTTATTCACACGAACCGTGTAGAGTTTTTTATTATAAGCTTTTTATATTATTTTTCAGTCCATAAACTGCTTTATAATTCCATATCACTGATGTGCTATAAGCGTTCTACATACATACATGGAATTTATGTGCAACTCTTATTTTGTTGTTGGCATTTCCAGCACCTGCGATGATGATTGCCAAGACAGAGATATTTAAATGGGGTAATGTAACGTAATGTGATACGACCTACAAAATGTGTGTAAGGGTTTCGCTAAACGTCTGTCAGAGTTAGTCTGTGTGTGTGCTTCTGTGTCAGAGATAGAGAGAGAGAAACGTCTAGATTATTACAAGATTATTAGATAGACAAAACATTTTAGCACAGAAACCAAAGCAACTGGAACATTAGCCGACCTCCCAACCGCCCACAGTTCTGTCTTCTTTTGTGCCACAAATGTCGCACATATGTCAACCGTATTTGTTGTTGTTTTGTTGGTGGCATTTCTCTTGGTTCGGTTGCCAGCACATTGGCTCAGTTGTTGTTTTCAACTTGCAATTGGCGGCATTTTTAGCCAACAGTCACTTATAGTCTGGCATTTGTTGCTGTTTCCTTGGTTCCGGCATACCCGCATAATTCCAAGGTATGTGTACAAACATTTGTGCACCCAACAGGAGTTGTGGACAGCGGTTCCTTGGGACAAGACCACCACCCCTGCCACTAACTAACGCTGTACAGCAGGTATCTCAGTCAGATTTATGGCATGCCAGGAGACGACTTGAAAAACGACGCTGGCCATTGGCCACTGGCCGTTGGGCGAAAATGAAAACGTGAAACGCTTTTGACCGGATGTCGCGGAAGCGCACTAAAAAAGTCATTCACCTGTGTAAAAACCTATTTTGCATATCAAATTTTGCATTACCAATATGTGTGTATAGTGACTTTTTCAATTACACGCAAAATAATCTGTGATATTTGAGAGGATTTCACTATTATTGAATAGATTCATTATGTGAAAACATATTTCTATTTTTGTTTACTGATGTATGAATATAATAACCATTTATTTAAATTTACTAAATAAATGCATACACAAGATGTGATCCTTTGTTTTGCAAGCATTCTAAATGGTTTCTTTTCCACGAATATTATGAAATTAATTATTAGAATTTGATGCAGTTGTTGTTTTAATTGTTGGTTATATTTGTTGTATTTGATTTTTTACACTAATTAGGATTATTTGCATTTATGTTTATTCACTCGTTTCGTTTCACATATAGCCACTGGTTGTAATGCTACACATGCGGCCAGACCACGCTCCAAACACAAACTGATTTTCCATAATGTTGCCAAAGCAGGGAATGCCCCCTAACAACGGAGTCAGAGCCAACATACAACAGCAACATCAACAGCAACAGCAACAGCAACAGCCTGTAATGCCGGTGCGTTTGCCTCAGTTACTCACTTATTCAGTTGCTGGTGTTGTTGTTATTATTGTTGTTGTTGTTGCTGGTTGTTGGTCATATGCTCCTCATATATGTGTTTGAGCGGCAGTCGCGTCTGAAGACTCTCTGGGTCTGGGTTGTAGTTTGCTGTTGTTGTTCTTCTTGTTGTTGCTACTGCTGTTGCTTTTACTCGTCTCATTGTTGTTGTTGTTGTTGAAAATGTTTCCACATCACTCGTCAAGCGTTTCCATTTAAGCTCTCCATAAAAAAACAGCAAAAAAAAAAAAAACAAAAAACGTAACGAAACAAGAAAACAACAACAAACGGCCAGAAGTGGTTGAAAGCAAATACAACAATGACTACCATGGCGACTACGCGCACGCGCCCATCATCAAATTGCGACGCTCAATGGGATTGCTGCATATGGCAGAACAGTGCTTCTCTTCTGCTACTACTACTAGTACCACTACTGCTACTGCTACTACTTCTGTATGCAATTGTGTTGTCAGTTCTTGACTAACCCTTAGCTTTGGAGGCACCTGTGCCATCCAGCCAAATAAAAAAAACCGCTGACTTTACGCCTGACTGAGCCGGGCCCTTGAACCCCCTACCAGGCTGAGACAGAGAGCTCTCTCTGTTTACATTTGCAAATCCTTGCCTTGGCAACCAAGGCGTCCTGGCGATTCTTGAGCCGGTTTCTCATGTGCCATGACTCAATGACATTGCATTTGCATGTGCATGCCGTTAATTGGTGTAATTTGAACTGGACTTTGACGATGACGATGACGATGTTGATGGCGACGACGGGACCGGGTCGCATATACTTTCCGCACTCCTCAACATACACATAATAGAGGGCTCCCTTTTGGGTAGTTTCTTTTACTTTTTGTGTTCGGGAGTTCGTTTTCCTGTACAGTTTCGTGCTTCCTTTGCTTACTTATGAGTAGTTTTTCGGGCCATGCTTTCTCATTCGATTGTATTCAATGGTTTTTGCTTTCCTTGAGCTGTGTGACAGGCAACACTTTTGACTTACTTTATGATCCGAGCTGGTCGATTATGCTCGCTTTATTGTGCTTTAATTGAGCATTGCTGGAATTTGAAAGGAATATATGTCGAAGTTTTCGCTTTAGGGGGTTTGTTGGAAATTGTACACTTGCACTTACGGTTGACGAGAGTACAATTATTTTTTAATTACACTATGCAACACAGGCATTATAAATAACTAGATATAAATTATAGAAAATCACATAAGTGTAATTACATGCAATTAATTACAAATTTATTTAAAGTGTTTTGGCACTTTCAAAGTGCGTCTCATTATAAGAGTTTGGCTTAAATTGGTACCGAATTCTTATTTGTAACATTCAGTTCATCACTTTAAGGGATCTACATAAATAGTGGTTAGGCTAATTCTCAAATGCAGTTTTATAGCTCTGTGTGACTGTGCTTGTCATAGAAACGCACACAGAGCCTCGCCAGAGCCTGTGACACCTCCAATCTATACTCATCCTGGCTGTGAGAGAATCTGTTCCGCACGGTGAGCAACGCATGCCGCAAAGCACCGCTTTGCGCCCAGAGGGGTTGGCACAGACTGTCAGTGCTCTCCAACCCGACTATGAACTGCTCCACAACTTCAGGTTGTTCCAGTAACTGCACATAATCTTTGCTGAGCACTGCCTCTAGAGTGGGACAATAACTATGCGCTTGCAGCCAGGACTCAAGCTCTAGAAGCCCATATTGTGCCACACTTGAGGTTGCATCCGATGAGTCTCTGCTTCCCTCGAGCGCATAACGCTTCTCCAACATCAAATCACTTATCAAAGTCATCACTTTGCCCTTATTGCGCAGTTCGATGTCGGTGCTCCGCAGCACACTAATCAGAGCCTGTGTACCCGAGGTAGATAGGATGCGCTGCTGAGCCAATGGAAACTTGCGCAAAAGTGCGCCAAATGCATGTAGTGCCGAGGAGACTTCGGCGCTGTTAGTCGACGTCATCAGGATTTGTGCGAGATGTGAACCGAAATTGCGTTCAAATACTTTAACTTGCGCCTGGGGATTGTTTCCAGTTAGGGCGCCGAGAACGCGCATTGCGGAAGCGCGCATATCAGTGTTGGTATCGTTGACCACAATGGGCAACAGGACATCGTCCAGGCCGCCTTTGTCAATGAAAACCAGAGCATTGTCAATCTGATGCAGTAGGTACTCAAGATTCTCTAGCGAATTTAGTTTGGGCTTCAGCTCCGACTCCACGGATGTTTTGCTGAAGTTGCGATATTGTTCCAGGATCTGGACGATCAGTTCGCCATCGGTGCGAAAGTTCTTTTTAAAATCTTTGTATGCTTTGCGTAGCTCTGCATAGCTGCGATGTTCCTTCACCTTGCGCACCGACTCCTCAATTATGTCCGCCTTGTGTTCCAAGGACAGCGGCAGATCATTTGCCGATCCTGAAGCGTTGTCGTCGGTTTGACTTTGCAGCGCAGTGTCACGTTCGTTTGTATCTAGTAATTTGGCTTCCTTAACGCCCGTCTGCAGATTGATGCGGACGTGGAGTCCCTTGGGTATGCCCTGACCTGAAAGCTGATAGGCATTAGTCGTCGCATATTATAAGTACACGTAATAAAAACCTTCGGGCACCACTTGCCATTCATAAGTGGCAATAAATTGGGAGCTGTTGTTTACATTCTCTGACGCTGACACTTCCAGGCAACCAACCGCCAGGACAGCGACCAATATTGTGCATACAATGGACGTGTGCATTCTTAATCTTTCCAATTTATCTATTGTATTCCTGGTTATAATCCCGACTCTGTTCTGCTTATTTTCCGGCTTTTGTAAAACGTTGACATGACACCAGTGTTGTACAGCGAGCTTACTGAAGCTTATGTATCGATATCATGAGTGCTGAGAAGTAGCGTGACTTATTTATAACAGTCTGGCTACATTATAGCTGCTAATACATCTTTTTATGAACAATCTGGCCACGCCATTTGTTTATCCGTTATAAGTATTTGTAATTTTTTATTTTCAAATTGTTTTTATTAGAAGATAGCAATACATCAATTATTACATTATTGATATGAGTGTGTAAAAAACTGGTTTATGCTGGTACTTCGAATTTATATCGTCATTCGGTAGGTCACTGGCAAATAAAATGAATCGCTTTACACAATTAATGTATGCAAATCTATTCGTTTGTCGTGCGTCAACATCAATAAAACACGCATGGCTTTACATAAAAATGAGTTGGCAAATTATTTGTTTATTTTATTTATGGTTATATATTAAAATCGACGATACCATAAGCTACGAAAGCGTCTCGGAATTCATTTTATAAACAAAACAAATGCCAATATTCAAGTTATATGTAATTTGTATGGTATATTTATACACATGTAAATGAAGTCATACTGCTGTGGCGCCAATTAGACGTGTAAACAAATTGCAGACTGACTTCTATTTTTTTTTCTTTTTAGCTACAGGTGTACTACCATACGGATGACAAATAGCTAAAGATTTTTAACCATATTTTGCCAGAAGTGTGTGAGAGTGTGTGCCAAAGGGGTTTTTGTATGTTTACACGTCGCTTGCCAGTAGTTTGAATATGAGGCCATAAAATTGTTAAGTTGTACGACGACATTTGTGTATTCTTCTTTCGTGTTTGCCAATTTAGCAAACCAGTCTGTCACCCGCTATCATTTATGTGGTTATCGTTATTTCTAATTGAAACGGAAATTCTTCAGCTTGTCTGCGATTTGGCCATTGTTAACTAGCTAAACACCTTGAGCTGTTAGGAATACACACATGTTTTATTAGTTTTCTGCATGAATAGCTTTGCCGATGATTAATTTTAATAATTTGTTTCATCTAATTATCTAACAAAACCAAAACGAACTACCTAAATGCTTCATGATCTCAGCTTAATTAGCATTAGAAAGAAGCAATTAACATTCACGCCAGATTATTTAACACTTGTCTAATCACTCAAATCCAGATCTATTGCCGAGATGCATAGCTGATGTCAACGCAAATATTTATTGAAAATACAATATATATTCAAATTTTGTGTGATTTCCTTTGTTTTCTGCTTTCGCTCTTTGTTCGAACAAAGCAAATGCCGGACAATAAAATTGACATTTATGGATCTATATAAAAAAAATGGCAGTCATTTGCATTGGTATTGTTTTTCATATTATTTTAAAATATGTACATAACATAATCACTTTCCATGGAATTCACTGGTGTGTTTATTATAAGAATTTGAATTTCATTAAAATTCATTAAAGTAAATTTATAATACTTCGTCAGAATTTCAGTTTTGTGATTTATTAATTTGTAAAACTTGCTTTTAATGCATTTATATATTTGTTGTAAGCGATATTATTTCAATATAATAATAATTTGTTGTTCTGTTGTATTAATTGTACTTATAATTCTCGCAATAATAATTATAAGTTATACAAATATTTAAAAACGCAATTTAAATGTATATATTAATGTGTATAAATAGAACAACCTTCATTGACAATAAAATGTGAGAATTTCTTTTTCGTTTCTGGTGACAATATATTGACAATTTAGGTAATATATAATGCATGTTTACAATTGACAAAGTATAGGGTATTTGAAGTCCCTTATTACAACGTCATTCGCATTGGATTCGAGACATTAAAAACTGGATTGCGAAGCGCGCATCGAAAATGTCTAAAATCACTTTTGATTTTGTCGTTGTTTTGGTGCTCTGATGACACCGCGGGACCTGTTAATAATATTAATTAATAATATTCTTGTCATCGTTCCTGTTTTTGTTGTTGCTCGACTGCGAATTCTCTATGATGATGAGAAGCAAAAAAAAAAAAAAACAAAAAAAACAAAAACAACGAAACGAAAAGCCAGATTCGAAAAAAACAAAAACAACACCAACAATGATGAGCAGAAGAGCAAAGCCGACCAAGACAAGTTAAGAATGAATAAACTATTTAATGTATTGGCTTGGCGCTGGCCGGCGAGCTCTCAAAAAAGTCTATAAATGGCTGCGTTTGTCCATAGCCAATTTACAGTTTAGCATTGAACTTGGTCGGGAGTTCGCGAAAATCAGCGTGCCGCGTCTCAGCCGCTTTGTTCTTAGCTACGAATTCTCAGTGTCCGTTTGTTTGGCATATAATATATATTTATATTTGATCATTATGCTCCTTTTGCTGTGCACCGTTTTGCTGGTTGGCCTCGCCAGCGGCGCCTCCAATTTCCGTGAGTCCAATCTCTGAAGCGATTGCGCAGTTCGAAAAAGAAAAAAAATATTGAGTTTGTGTCTTGGTCTATTTAGCTGCTGAGCTGCCGCGTTGTCATCAGAGCGACACCAACTGTATCATTGAGGTGACACACAAGCTAGTGCGTCAATATGCCCGCACCGGCTATCCGGCAGCTGGATTTCCACAGGTGGAGCCGTTCCTGGTCAAGCGCTTTGACATCTCGGATGGACGCACTGGCTCGCTGAGTCTGAAGCTTAACTTCCGCGATGTCAACGTAGAGGGTTTGTCCGGCGTAAAGTTCGACCGAGCCGTGTAAGTTGTTAGCTTGAAAGAATTTCGAACAAAAAGTGAACACTCGAAAATTATTACGCTTATTTTTTAGAGTTCAGTTTACTTCATGAATAGCTATAGATTTTAGATGCCATATTTTTCGAGTATAAAAATGATTTATTCAAAAGTGTATAACAGGCATTACAAATTGCTTTTCCCAAAATGAAGATATTTTTTAAATATATTTTTTATGTAATTTAAATTTGTAAATAATTAGTGCATCATTTATTTATGGATAACAATTAAACGTTGCAATACTTTGTACGTTGGCAAGTTAACAACAAGAAAACATGCAAGCTAAAATTAAGCTCTCTATTTACCAAATATATATTATTTATTGAATTTATTTTACTTTTCATCAATTTTTGCAGCGGCTTTGACGCAAATCCGTCGACCAGCAAGTTTGAGATGTACGGCTCCTTTCCCAAGATTGTGATGCGTGGCAAGTACTTGGCCGATGGACGCATTCTGATCCTGCCGATTCGCGGCGATGGCGATGCTGAAATCACACTGCACAATCCCAAGTTTTCGGTCAAGTTCAAGCCGGCCGCCCAACCTCGCAATGGTCTCACCTATCTCAGCGTGGACAAACTTAAGGTGCTGGTCGAGCCACAAAAGTAAGTTGAAAGCAGCTTTGAGTTATTGTGTGTGCAAATGTATAAATTTTGATCATTTCTAGAATGAACATCAAGTTGACCAATTTGTTCAATGGCGACCAAGCGTTGGGCAACAATCTAAATCAGTTCCTCAATGATAACTGGTCGGATGTCTGGAGTGAGCTGCAGCCGTCGATTCATGTGGCAATTGCGGATATTATGAAGAGTATTCTGGCCACGCTGTTCAAGCGTTTCGCCTACGAGGATATGTTTCTGGAGGACTAAAGTCCCGACTCTATCTTCATGTGACATTCATATATAGTTGTAGCTCTTAGTATTTAGATTTTTACGTGTACGTGTACGAGTATTTTTCTTGACAAACATATAATTCGATGGACTGTTTTTGCTGCTTAGGCAACGCTTTTGTAACTAAGTAAAGTTTAAGCATTACAATTAATGAATAAGCAAAAAACTTAATAACTGAATTAAACTATGTTTTCTTTGCAACCAAAAAGAATTTTTAAATATTGTCGATCGATTTTAATAGTTTCGTCATAGTTGATTTAGGTTTTTTTTTTTTTTGAAGCTGGTGGAAATACTTTTGTTCAACTTTTTAATATAATTTCCTTGAAATACTGGAAATATAATAATAATCTCATTTAATAAACACAACCGGTATTCACAATAAATATATTTTTAATAGTCTGGATCATTCTTAGGTTTTTTTTTTTTTATTTTTGTTTTTTGGCCAAACTCTTCCGCAAAGCTGTCGCATAAATTTTGGCCAACAATTTGGCAGCAGGCAATTCACGTGAGTGGCTAGATTTGCATAACAATATAGCAGCACATAAAAATCGAAATCCACAGCCGACTGACGTTAATACTGTGCTCAGATGCTTGCTTGACTGCAGATCCCAGCCAATTGAGCTGCAACAGAGCTGAACAGCAAGCTGGTTATAAACAGGGTATGGAATCGATTGTCAAGTTCAAGTATAGGCAACGGTAAAGCCGACAAGTTGATAGTCAAATGATAGCCAGTTTACCTTGGAACTCTACGCAAAATCGTCTATGTTTAGCGAAACGAGTCAGTAAACTCTTAAGTGTAATTGTATATCAGCTTCCTCTAGTTATTTGAACAAGGGGTTGGTTTGTGCCCAGGGCTCAACACTGTTAAGTGTACTGTGATATATATTTAGATCAGCCTGTGTACTGAATAGTAAACATCTTCACTTATTTTTTCATTGTGATAGGCTAATAATGGCAAACCTCGTTTCTTCTTTTCTTTTATCATTTTTACTTAAATGAGGTATTTTATTTTATATATATATATATATATATAGAATGTGAATTTTGTATTTTATCGTATGTCTATTTTATTTTTTATCCCATATTACAGTTTTAACGTAAATAATTGGCTTAATTATAAGCTGATTGAGTTCTGAGTTCAATACTTTCGCACGTCGTAAACAAAATAATTATATGTTATTAAATAATGTAATATACAATCTACACTAATAGAAATATATGAAACTTAGGTTCGATAAATTAATGGTTCAAATTGTATAAACATATTGAATTGTATAAGTATATATTGAAATAATGCCTCAATTCTTAAACAGATTTATTATTATTATTATTATTATTATTATTATTATTATTATTATTATTATTATTATTTTTATTATTTTTATTATTATTTGTACTGATTATTTGTATATGATTTTTTCTGCCTTTTATTAACATTTCCACAACTGCAACCCACAATGTGAGTCAAGTGCATCTACTACGAATGAACTCTTAACGAGGTAATTTGTGATTCAAACTGGTTACATTTTATTTCATATTGCGTAAGTCCTAGTAGACTTACATATTATTTTACAGTTCTGTAGATGAGTTAATAGAGCTCATTTCCCTATAAAAGCTAAACAACATCTCGAGCCATAAGTTAGTCGATTGGATGCGTTGATTGTGTGAATCATATTTTAAGTTTACCTATTTTGAAAATGTCGAGAATTACTTGTATTGCCATATTCTGTGCAATTCTGACTGTGCAAGCCAAGTTTCGTAAGGACAAATATAATATTCAATTCGATCGCTATTTAAATATCCTAATTATACAGCCAACGATCCCAAGGCCTGTAAATATGGCGATGGGGAGTGCATCGTTAAATTTATCAACGATTTGGTTAGCAAGAAGTCAGCGACGGGTGATCGTGATATAAATCTTGTACAAATCGATCCATTGCCTGTGGCCAAGTTGCAGTTAAAGCAAGGCGAGGATAGTCCTGTCAATATTGACTTGACCTTTACGGATAACAAGCTGGTTGGCCTAAGTACAATGACGTACACTAAAGTCAAGTAAGTGCAACATTATATTTAAATTGCTTCAAATATATCAATGCAGTAATTCCGATTCAGGGGTTTCGGCAAGAACCTTGCCCAAAAACACGAACTCCTTTGGAATATCAAAAAGATATCCGTGCTGGGTCCCTACACCATCAGCGGTAAAGTCTTAATACTGCCCATTAGCGGCAATGGCGTAAGCAATATGACCATGGGTAAATTGACTAACCATAATGACTAAAATAGCACTTATACGGCAAAAATACCTTAATTTCCAGTCAACGCTGAGGCGAAGACGACATTCATTGGCAAGCCCATTGAGAAGAATGGAGAGACCTATATGGATGTAACAAATTTTAAGCTCTATCTGAACCCGGAACGAATCTATTACCATTTTACCAATTTGTTCAATGGTGATAAGGCCTTGGGTGATAATATGAATGCGTTCCTCAATGACAACTGGGAAGCAATATTTGGAGAGGTGAAACTGTCGTTGGAATCGGCATTCGGGGAAGTATACCACGCCATTATCCGAAATGTCTTCACAAAGTATCCCTATGACAAGTACTTCATAGATTAAATACAATATTAACCCAAAAACGAAAGATGTTAAGTTAAATAAAATACTTTTCTGGGTAAATATGCTTATTATATAGAGTAATCTATCATCTTGAAAACAATGCAATCAAACAAAATTAATTTGATTACAATTATTAGATGCAAATTAAATAATGGCCAAGCAGTGTAATAAAATCCGTGATAATATTGCCATTATTGTTTATTAATTAAATTGCATGTCGACGATTTGAGGTATTTAACTACAGTAATCACTTTAAGTTATTGGCCCATTAAATAACCCTTAGTAAGCAAAAAACACTTCTGTCAATCAACAAATGCTTATTCTAGCTGGAAATAAATGTAATAAAGCTATATTTTATTTGGTTATTAAACTAAATAAAGTGTTCTTAAGTCACAGAGACGGCTCCACACAGCAATACACATTTGCTTAAAATATTATGAAATACTATCTAAACCGCTTGTTTTTACCGACTAAGAGAATAGTAAAGGCGAAAGATGTTGTCTACTTTTGTGCAGTTGAAATACAACTTAATCAAGCCCCTCCTAAAATTATGCAGTGAATTTTAAATGTTATTTTCTATATACGCATAGGGAAAGACACAAAGAGTTCATTCGTGCTCAACTTGTGAGAAATCTCTAATTGGAAAACTCCTGTTCTTATTACACTTTGATACCGAATGTATCATAGTATATTGGTTTTGTGCAATGTCCATCATGCTGTCTGTCCGTCTGTATGAACGCAACTTTTTTCGACATCCTTAGAGATAGAGACTTGAAACTTGGAACATATACTGGGTTATGCCCGGGTCAGACAAGGTGTAAAAATTAGAGTGCTCCGTCCACTACATATCTCCCACAACTATTTGGTTAGGAGGTTGTTGGCAATGTCCTTAAAAAATAGGCATATGCCACACCAACCCACGCTGCTCGCGCTCTAAATATTTTAAATGGCTGTGTCATCAGCAGTTTTTGAGTTACAGTAGTCAAATTTGATAGGTAATTTGAATGGCCATGCCCACACCTGTGCCCACAAACGACAAAGCTTATATTTCGGAAAGTGTAAATCGATAAGTCCGCATATCTTCCAAAATTTTAAAGATATAATCACAAAACTTGGAACTTGCTGCTAGCCTTCTTCAAAGATCGGCATATACATTTTGAGACCACGGCCACACCCGCCGCACTAAGGAAATTCGGGCCTAGAATTATATTTCTTGGCTACACCCTGTGGCAACTGTTATTAGATGGTATAACTTATAGGTATCAGAGTATTTCGCAGTTGGTTTCGTCCGACTGCAACGTTCTCTACTTTTTTTTATGTAATAAAGGCAGACATTGACCTTAAACTGTTTAATATAATACGCAATAACACAAAAATGATTCGTAATCTTAAAACAAGGAAATTGAGTAATTAAATGCGGTTCGCAAGCGGCTCTTAATTGAGATGCAATTTAGAAGTTCAAAGGTGATGGGAATTCGAAACAGAATTATAACAGTAAGGAATCATTAAATAAAGTTACTCTATTTCATTTAGCAAAAATAAAAATATGTAAAGACCTATTTTGAAATAAAATACCTATACTATTGTCAATTTTCCAGTTAAGGGTTACCTAGAAACAGATAATGACATCACTCCAATTCCAATCTAACACCACTTACGCTCTGTAAGCCTTAAGTCAAAAGCTACAAGTTTATGATCTTATCGGTAGGAATATTTTATTGTTAGCTATTATATTATAATATATGATAATAACTCAATTAACTTTATTTAAAGTGTATTTAAGACACTGTGTTCTTATGATATACCTAAGTGCACTTGCCTCGGTAGCACGAAAAAAATGGAGACAAAAAAATAATTTGTGTTTAACAACAGTTGATTTATGAGAACAGATATAAGTTTAATTGAAATTTCACAGTTAAGCATATTAAGGCGTATGACAACAATCCATATAAAAGTGGCCACACCTGATAGTAAGTTCATCAGTCATTTCTCGAAAGCGGCTAAGCATGAATATGGATAAGTTATTCCTTTCGCTGTTGTTGTTAAGCTGTTTATATGCATCCTCGAATGGAGACGCCTCCGAATTGCGTAAGTTGCGACTCCAACAACTATAACACACTTATATAGCTTACATCTTAATATTTCGCAGCTGCTGGCATTCAGAAATGCTCGATAAATGATGAAAATTGCCTCAAGGATAGCATGAATTATGTGATAAAGAATTATGCCAAGACTGGCATTAAGGAGCTAGGCTTAGTTCAATTGGATCCACTGCTTTTGAAAAAGTTCAGCCTGCCAAAGAAACCGAACAGTCCTGTTAGCATAGATTTGACCTTCCGCAATGCTTCTATGATTGGATTCGCTGAAGCGCAGGTCAAGAAAGCGTCGTAAGTTGAATTTATAATATTAACTAGTGATTTGCAGCTATCTTTATTTGTCACATATTTTCTTATTTGTAGCTTCTTAACATCTAATCTTAGTCGAACCATGGTTTTTGACTTCGTCGTTCCGAAAATTATACTCAAAGGTCCTTATAGCATAAACGGCCAAGTGTTGATTTTGCCCATTGTGGGAAAGGGCAACGCAGAGATTGTGCTGAGTAAGCAAAACATTGTTTGATTATAACATATAACACTAATCCTAAAAATTGCAGAAAATTGTCGATCGCATTTCATTGTGAAATTGGAGGCTGTGTCCAAGGGTCCGGGTCTGACTTATGTGAATGTGGTCGATCTTAGAATGGATTTGGAGCCATCGCATGTTACTTATAAACTTGGAGGTCTTTTCGGTGGCCAGAAGGATTTGAGCGAGAATTTGCACATACTGATCAACGAAAACTGGCGGGAGATTTTCAATGAACTTAAAGATGATATTTCCGTTGCGATGGGTCTGATCTTCAAGTTGATGCTAAGCAAGACCATGAGCATGCTGCCGCTTGAGCAGCTCTTTTCTGACGGCAATGTGCTTAACTTAAGTTAAGTAATATTTATTTCTTATTTCTGCAACGAAATGAATGATTAATATCACTATTAAAACTGATTATACGCTTTTGGAATCACATAAGCAAAATAGCAATTATTAAGCGTTGGATCCCTTTGAGATATATTTAAGCTTAAGCTTAGCTGAAGTATGCTTAAAGCTAATGATTCTTGATACTCTTGATTAGAAAGGTATACCCTGCCTAAGTTTAACTTGAAGCATGAAGTGATTTCAACATCTCAAAATAGGTTTAATTCAAAATGGTCAAATTTAGCTTTTCAATAATTTTGCCTCGAATCTATTTGCTAAGCAGCTCTTTGCACCTAAAAGTATGCAGCTGGAGAGCAATTTAGACAATATTGCAACCCAATTTTTATCTCTGGTTTTATTGTTAATATCTCAAAAATCACTTCACTTATGTGGAAAGTATTGTGATTTGGCCGACTCAGATAAATCTTGTTTATATTGGGGTTGCTAAGGATATATTCTCGATTTAAATTGTTATTACCTTATAAAACGTATATATTTGACATATTTAAAATAAGTACATTGTGTTTAGCTTAAATAAAAATATAATTAAATTCATACAATTTTCTTTTAATATAATTAAAGTTTCATTCAAATTAAAATTTGTTCTTTCTTATAGCATCTAGCCACTTTCCTGCAAGCGTAAATATTTAGATTTTTGTCATTCTTTGATTATTATTTCTAAGCCCGATTAATCCTTGGTACATGTGAGCGACGATTGACCCTTGGTGGAGATAAGGGCGGCAATTCGCCGACAAAGTCCAACGGCTGCAAGCGTGCATGAACATTAAGATTGGGATTAGGCGGCAAATTACGGACAATCTTTGGGGGATCGCACAGGCCTATTATTTCTGGCGGAAAGTAGTTTTCTGGCGACTCCAGCAATGCAGTAAGGAAGTCTTCGTGCTGCTTAGCGCAGCTAATAACGTTGCCCAGCTGATAGTGTTCAACCATTCTTTGCTCCACGGAGTCCAATGCCCTTGGAGCCTGAAGCTCGACTGTAGCCAATTGTAAGACTCTCTTATTGGTTTCATGGAGCGTCGCCTTCATGGCCGAGGAGTAACGATACTCCAGATCCATTTCCCAGTTGAAAATAAATACGTGAATGTGAGCAGCTTTAAGATGATCAAGCAGTTCAAGTAGCAGTTTTTCCAACTGTGCAGCATTGTCTGAAGATATTAAATAAATTTTAAATATGGATTTTTTTAATAGTTGCAAGAGCAACAAACCCAAAGCCACTTTGGTAAGAAGCTGCGAAGCACGTTGACGTAGCTCCAATTTAGTGAACGCCTTGAGAACCTGTAGGTCATTGAAGACTTTATTGAGTAGCTCATCGCACTCGGTATATCTGGTGTAGTCAAAGTGACGATTCGTCTCCAGAATGCGACGTTGGCGTGCATGGAAGCGTTCCAGTTTGGTGCACAGCACCTGCGCATGATGGCGCACATTGCATCCGGATGGCAGCGAACACTTCTTGGGCAAATCGAATATATAATCCGATGGCATTGAATTTAACTGATTGCTTGGCAATTCGGTATTGAGGTGCTCATGCAGCGACTTGAATATCGTCATTAAACGCAGTACCGGATTTCGTTCGATGCTGGAAGGTTAATTAATTGATTTAGAAGCGGCGGCAAAAAAGTAATTTTAAAATATGTTTGTAATATTTCTACATGATTTATAACATTCTTAGGATATCTTCAAGTGAAAGATTTTTTATTTAGTCGGCTGTTCGTCTCCCGAATACTGGCAGAGTAAAGTGTGTTTTGAAGAACGTTGCTTGAATGTTTTCACCACACTAACAACTTTCCTCTGTTCATGCACAAACACAATTCCAACAGCGTCTCCGCTGACGCTGTCGAATCCTTCTATTTACTAAGCATTGTGTAATTATAATTCCACTACAATATTTAATACTCGTATGTAGGTTGCTACTCACCAATCACCGTTCAGCTCAATTGCGAATGAGCCGCATTCCTCTCTGTTTTGTATGTTCTCTTTCTGTTGTTGATCTCGTATATGGCGCGAAACTAAATTGTTTTCTGCGCTAATTGAGGCATTTGAATTCGACTTCTTTTTGGCGCCGCTATTGCTTAGGTTGACCAGACGCTTCTGCATGGCCTCTGTTTGGGGGCAACCATAACGATGGAACTCGAATTGGGGCGCATTTGCATCCAAGGTCAAGTCGTTAACTATGAGATTGAGTTCTTGCAGAACGTTGGCAGCACTGCTCTCGTCGCAAGCGGCATGCCTTGCGGCACGCGGCTCTTCATAATCAAGCAAATAGCACAAATTCGATTTTATTAGCTTCATATTATTGTTAAGCTGCTGATCTTCAGCGTTTGCCATATCGAAACTCATTTTTAAACAGTATTGAGACAACTTTGCGCCAAAAACATCTATAATTCACTACTATACTGAAAAGAAATAGCGGGCGTCAGGCTGTCTGCTCTGCTATTTTCCCACCTAAACCGAACGACACACTGGCTGCTACAGAATTAAAATACGCCCAGAAGTTCAGACTGTCGCCGTGCTGTCTGGACTATCAGCCCTAGCGATGATCGATATCTTTCGATACTTATCAATAAGTACTCACAACTCAATTAACGAATTAACCTTTCTATGACGTCAATCTTGACCATTACGTTTTGGGCACGAGAATTGTCGGGCTTGTTTTTTTTTTTTTTTACTATTTTAGAAGCATTTGAATAGACGTAATAGAATTGCAAAGTGTACGCCAAAAAGTTAATTAATACAAATTGCTAATTTGTCTCAAAATTAACTACATATTGATCGATATACGTTGTGAAAAGTAGAGAGTTGTCTGATCGCTTGCAGAGGCTTCAATTTATCATTTGATGCATTTCACAGCACTGTTTTTCTTGCAATTGAATTTTTGAATTTAACTGCGAACAGATGTGTAGAGTAATCGCAGAATTATGCCTTTGGTATTTTATTGAATTTATTTCATATGGTTTACTTTTGTATGATATACATAAACAGTTACATGTTTTACATTGTACATTTTTCAATATGTATACTTAAGATGAAGTATTACTTGTAGTTATATTTGTATATGTGTACGTATTTCTTATGCAAACGGTTAAGTTTATTATATGTTTTAACAAATTAAAAACAAAATAGAAACAAAACCCCATTTTAGTTTAGATTAGCACTACTAAATGTTTTCATATTTTCTTCTATATGATTAATAATTATTATTGCTTTAATAATAAACAATAAACGATTATAGATTAATTAAAGCTACAACTTAGTGCGCATTCTTGTACTTCAATTAAAGAGTCTACAACAAAAATGACATAAACAATAACAAAAATTATGGTGTAGTATTAACAAAGTATTATTGTAAAAAATGGTTTAAACAAACACAAACCAATTGGATTTTCACTAATTCATTTTTTTTATATCACAAGTTAAAATTTTGATTATTGATTGGTCAATTTTTTGTTTTTGTTTGATATATATTTAAGTATGTATGTTGTATCTATATGAAATGTGTGTAAATTGTATGTATTCATATATATATATAAATATATGTACATAAGAAAATATACTAATGTCGTATTTTAATAATAAACATATTTTTTAAGCTATGTATATTGTAATGTTGTATGTTCTGTTGATACATATACATATATAAATTGGTCTACACTCAAGTCATGATGTTACTTAAATTGGTTTATGGTAACTAACATTAAGAGAGAACATGCATAGTTTTAAGAGTTTTGAGTTATAATTGTTTTTTTTTTTTTGTTTTTAGGAGATTACATAGAAATTCGAGTTAGTTGCATGCAGTTTATGAGAGAAGTTTAACTATTATAACATTATTTAGTATTTAAATAGTATGCGTTAAGATCGTGTTCAGATGCAGACTATATAAGTATACAAAGTACCCCAACTTTTAGCATTGATTCAACTCAAATTTGTATATGTCTCTAAATTTGTTTGTTAAACTTAGAAATAAGATTATCAAAAGCTATACGTTGATAGTTTACAAGATAAAAAAAAAATATGACACCTCCTAAGTAGCTTATAGGATTTAAATGTTGTTCACTTAAGAATGCTGTTAAATAGTTGGCTTTGGTTATGTTGTACGTATACACATGAAGCATCTGAACACGATATATAGATTTGGTTATGTTCGAGTTTCCGCTAGAGTTGTGTATGTATTTTTATCAATAGCTAGCCTAAAATTCAGACCAACGATTCTCTGACGTTGCTGTTTACCTGTAAAATAGTTGCAGATGTTGGTATAATTATATTGTATATAGGGGATATTTAGCTATTTATTCGTATATAAATATATATATGTATATACGCATATATATATTAGTTAGAATAGTTGAATAGATATGTCGTGGTCGTGTTGGAGTTTGTATTGAACTTGGTTAGGATCGGGTTCGTTCTCTTAGGGCGAGAAGACGCGCAGGCTGCGCAACAGCGTGGCCAGCACATTGGCCAAACATTCGGCCTGCAACGCCAATTGGCCAGCACCGATCGGACCAATCTGGACGCCAACTAGCTCCCGGAAACTGCTGGCCACATCGTGCACCTTCAGCACAATGTTGCGTGTCTGCAGCGGCGCCGATGTGTGCCGCGTCATATCCTGCGCCAGCTCCGTGATGCGACGAATGGCCGTCAGGCAGGAGGTTAGATGATCGGGCAGCGTAATCAGCGTCATGTCCGACATCGACGCAACCAGAAATTTGCTGGCCGTGACCAGGGCCAGGGTCTGCTCCGTCAGCTCGTTGCGTGCCCGTTGGAATTTCTCTTCATCGATGCTGGTGCCGCCGCCAGCTGACTGGGCGGCCGAGCATTGAGCGGCCACCTGGTCCAGTTTGATGAGTAGTCCGGTCATGGCCACATCCGTTTTGGCCAGCAGCGCCTCACCATCGATTAGATGACCATTCTTGATGAACAGCTTCTCGCCGTGCAGCTGTTGTGGTTTCTTTGGCAGAGCCGGCTGGCCATTGGAATGCGCATTGGGTAGGCGGATTGTTGCCGGTATTGGTGGAGTTGCTGTTGTTGTCGTTGTTGTTGTGCTTGCGGGTGTGGGCATGGGCATGGGCGTGCCATTAACTTGGGGGCGATTGGGGCGACTGGCAATGGGCGGCAGCGGGGGTTTCTTGGGCGCACTCACCGCTGCTGATGTGGCGGCTGCCAGCATTGTGTTGGGCAACTGTGCAGTCTGAGGCGTTGGTGGCTCCGAGAAGGCTGTGGGACTGCTGCGTGGTGGGAGCTGTGGCGGGCACAGGTCACGCAATGGCACACTACTGGCACTGGCCGTGACACCCATGATCCGCACCTGCTTTTTGGGTGAATAACGTTGGAGTAGCTCAGCGCTTTTGGGAGGGCGCGCCGGCGGTGGTGTCAACTGTTCCGAGGCAGCTGTGCGCGGTGGTGGCTGCAATGGTTGTTTTTCGAGTGCTGCGGAGTCTTCCTTTTTGGATGTGGGACAGCAGCTGAATTTGCTCTTGCGCTCCACGGTGGGATACTCAATGACATGTGAGGTTAGATCCTTGCTGTTGTTGTTGCAATTTGAGTTGTTGTTGTTGTGGTTCATGTTCATGTGATTGGTGCCATTGCTACCATTGGCGACAGCCTGGAAAAATTCGCGTTTCGCCTGCACCGAATTGCTGTAGAGGCATTCCGTCTCTGGAATCTGCGCCTCGAGATTTGGTGGCGGCGGTATTATGAAGGACATAATCTCCTCGGGCGTTAGTTCCTTGGCGGGCGTTGCTTTCTGTGTGGGCGGCGCCACCAGCATCTGCTGCAGAAAGCTATCCAGCTCCTCGGCCCTACCCTCGAAGCCCTTCGGTGGCGCCGCATTCAGCAGCGACAGCGAGTCCAGCTCATCGGGCGTCTGGGGCGGCGGAATGGCACGCAAATCAATCAAATCCGTATCAATCTCAATGAACGTATCCTCGCGCACCTCAAAGCCATAGATCTCGGACAGCTGGCGAGCGGCCACATCCGTATCAGCGACGGCGGGCACATTGCTAATCTCTTTCAACTGCTGCAGATACTCGCGCAAATTGTAATCCTTCGTCTCGGCACCGAAGTGGGTGCCGTCGGGACTGTGCAGCCCAAAGCTGCTGCGTTGCGCCAGCTGCTGCTTGGCTCCGCCTGTCTGAAGCAGCTGCTGTGGCCGTCGTGTTGTTGGCGATTGAGCTGGAGATGCTACCGATTCGGAATCGCTTTCGCTCTGCGAGAAATCTGTGCCCGAGGCTTGTAGATCGCTAAGCAGTTGACTGAAGACGTTGAGTTTGCGCTGCGGTCGCGGACTGGATGTGCTGCACAAACTGGGCTTGCGCTTGGGCGTGGCGGGTGTGGGCGGTGCCGAGGCAGAGACCGGCTCGGTTATGGCATTTAATCCTTGAGTGATACCGGTCAACTCATGACTAATCGTCTCCGCCAGCAGTGTGAGGGAATCACTGTGCTTAAGCGAGTGAGTGCCAGCACCGCCAATATGATTCATGTTGGACTCCTCCGTGGAGGAGACTTTGCTGCTGTTCAAACTGTCGCAATCGCTATCAAATTCAAGCATGGCCACGCCATGTCCCATCTGCTGTTGCTGCTGCTGCATGTGTATATGCTGCAGCTCTTGCTCCTGCTCGTTCAGATACTGCTCGGAGCATTGAACGAGCTGCTGGAGTTCTTGGACGCGCCGCAGCACTTGCTCGTTCTTGGCCTCCACGGCCAGTTGGCTGCGTCCCTCGCTGCAATAGTTGCTGCCACTGCTGTCACTCAGCCCCGAATCCTTGGCCGCCTCCTCCAGCAGTTCGGTGGCCATCACACTGTGCAAATCCAGATCGGTTGCATAGGGCAGCGACTGTGGCTGCGACTGTGAGGATAACTGCTGCACAGACTGCGGCTGTGACAGCACCGCCTTGTGCGGCATCGGGTGATATGGCGGCGTTATCAGAAAATTGACGCTGTGCGCTCGCGTGTGGAAGGGCAACAGATAGCTCCAGCCAGCGGGCAGTACGGTGTGCTGCGACAAAAACGCGGGCGCACTGTCCTCCTCATGCGGTTCGCGCTCTCGCAGCACATTCAGCGTATTGCCTGAAATGAAAAGAGTAGCTCTTTGCTTAATATGTGTATTAATAACATTAAGCCATTTTTCAAATTAAACTCATTTGATTTTTAAATGAATAGCAAATTAAATGATTGACAATTGAATACTATTTTATTCTTTTTGTTATGCGAGGCATTAAGATTTAAGCAAAATATGTTAAGTTCTGGTCAAGTACCTGTCAGCAGTCGATAGTAGCCGCTGAGCACTAGACTAAACTCGCAGCCATCGCGCTCCTCCATGATGAACTTGACAGCTCGATCGCCCAGCATGTAAATCGATATACTGCACGTGATGTCGTCCTCGCGATGAACCACCAAATGCGTAAAATCCTCAATGGCCGAAATGGGCTGTGGCTGTTGCAAGGTAATGAAGGTATATACAATTAAGACTCTGTTCGATTAGAAATTGAATATGGACTTACCACAGAATTGCGTGCACTGGATATCTGACTTAGACCGAAGCGTGGACTGACGAGCAGAACGCGTTCCATGCCCTCTCTTTGGTTTGTGCTGAAACATTTGGCGCCGTAGCTTGGTAAACTAGCGATTATATCTAGATAATGGAGTTTCGCCTGCAAGTTAAAACAAAGCAAAGCCAACGGTGAAATTAGCATAATGAACAGCAAGCATAAGAAGGGCAACCCATAAATACATTTATATAATCTTGATTGACATGTCAAGCTGAGCCGATACAAATTGATTTATAGTTTCGTGTCAGTACAAGTGGGTGACTTGCTGTCTTTACTTATCGGATAAATATAGCTTTTATACGTTTATACCATAACAACCCTTTTTGGTTAGTAGTTGTAGTTGTAGATGTTTACCTGCAACTGGGTTAGAACTTTACTAGACGATCCTGTCATCTCCGCATTAAGCTTTAAAAAGTGTGAAATTAGCCGTCGCAGCTCCTTTCGTTTCATGCCCTCAAACAGACTGACGGGCACAAAACGTTCCAGGCCAAACTCGCGTCTATAAGGGATAAATTGAAAATGAATAGGGTATAGAGATTAAAATAGCAGTGACTGTGGATGACTGGATACTCACTCGACCAGCTTGACGGTGAGCTTGGCGGGCGCAAAGTTATTGGCCAGCGCATGCTGGTGCATATGCAGGGCAGCTAGTCGTAGTGCCAGCTCTGGCTGCAGTTCCGGTGCGAAGCGCTCCTGATTGACATCGTTGCAGCACTGCATGTACAGATAGTCCAGCGCATGCAGATCTCTCTGAGCCAGCTCAGCGGCTGAAATGGGCACAAAGGTGATGCGAAACAGGCAGCGTAGCTTGTGAGCACCCGGGCGAGCAGCAATCTTTAAAGGATAACAAATAACATTTAGATCTGGCTCATCAAATATTAATTGAACATTGACTTACGCGTGCCAGTGACTCATGCGGATCGAGGAGTGTGAGCTTGTTGCGCTTTAGACTCTTGACATGCTCCAACACCAGACTGAAGAGTTCGCCGCAGCACAGACAGAGTTTGTCCAGCAGCGAGCTAACCACATCCTGCACTGTTGTTGTCGCATCATATTTGAATGACTTGGTCTGACCGTTCTCCAGAAACACCTTGAGCACATTTGCCATCGGCGGCACACAAATGTCGCCCAGCGAAAAAGCTGATGGCTGCAAGTGATTGTTGAACGAAATTGAGTATATGCAGTTAATCACACCTAACTGTGGTAAACACTTACCGGAAACAAGGGTGCTCCATTGACGCACACGCTCTCCGCGAAACGCACTCGGCTGGGACGCGAGCGCAGCTTGGCACGTTTGCCGGCTGAGAGCAGTGTGGATTTGCGACCGGGCATGATGCAGTGAGCCATTGGCTGGCAGACGAGCAGCGACACCTGCGCTTCACAGGCGCGCACCAATTGGATGACATGATCACGGGGCGCATCCTTAACATCCTCACCGTTGACGGCCAGTATCTGATCGCCTGGTTGCAGTTTGCCAATGCTGGGACCGCCTTCGGTAACGAAGCGCACAATCACCGGTCGCTCGCTGCCGGCCACAAAGCCAAAGCCCAAACTGGAGCTGCGCTGCAGCTGCACGAGTCGCGGCTCCGGCGGATGCTCGTCCCAGCGTATACATTCAGGCGGCTCATAAGTGGTCGTCTTGTTCAAATGACTAAGATTGAAATTAGCATTAGTTTTAATGAGCTGCCTTTAGTTAGTATTCTTTTCTCACTTGATGTAGTAGGAACGACCCTTGGAATCTATGGCACGCTCCCAACCATAGGAAAGCTCCTCATGCTTGCTCCAATCCTCGCAGGCAGGCAGCCAACCAGATGATTGCGTCAAATGGCTGTAAGATAAATTTGTAGAGAAACTGTTAATATTGTATTATTACATTTAAAATATCAAGTCTATAAAACTATGTCCTCTAAGTAAATTTCAGAAACCAAAGATACTTCAAATATTTGTTGAAAATAAATGTAGGATATCTAAAAATATGACTTAATCGAATTTGAAATGAAAATACAGTGTATATACCTATATACACTGATGCTTCTCAGCAGACAGCGAATCGGAGAAGAATATATCAACTAAATTTGACGAGAAAATATGTATATATATATACTCTATGGGGTCGGAGATGTCACCTACGAGCGGTGACATATTTTGTGGCATATTAATTAAGCAGTGAACAAAAGGAAATGTTTGCACAATCATCTTAAACGAGAATCAGAGTCTGTTGACTAATACTTGACCCTGAACTTGTAGCTGAATCCCATTCACTCATGCCCACCCCAGTTGAGCCACTGCCCATTTAAGGATAGCCTGACAGAATGCATTTCAATTGATATTAATCAACGCTAATTGGGTTATTTGCTCGACTATGCAATAAAGTGCAGCCATAATCGGGCGAACTCAGGACAGGACAGACAGATGGGCCGAGCCCATGTCCCATGCCCCAAGCCCCAATCCACGACACAAGCGAATCCAATGCAACCCACCTTGGTGGCTTCCGCTGCTGTCTTTCTTCATTTCCTAGCTGCACACAATTGTGATAATTAGTTTTGCACTTTGCTCGAGAGCCGAGTGCAGAGAGCTGAGAGCTGAGAGCATGTGGCGCATGGGGCGACCCAGTGCCAGTTAAAACCAAAGCTGAACCAAACCCAACCAATGCTCATTCATTCAGCCAGGCAGACGGCTGTACCCCAGTTCCTCTGTCGCAACGCTCTCACACCTCGTACCCTTTACCCTTCAGCCATGCTCCATGCTCAGCCACGCCCTGCCGCTCTTATGGCATTTTGTTCGCTTTCAGCTTGATGTGCAACAAAGTGTAAAATTATTTAATAGAATTTCGTGCATAATCAATTTATTTGCAGCAGCCAGGCATTCACAGAGGCACTCAGTCTGTCAGTCAGTCAGTCAGTCCGTTGCGACCCGACCCCTATGAAAAGGACACACTCTGAGGAAACAAAGGCCATTATCGACGCTATTTGACCTAATAATACTCTGCAAGCAAAACGAGTGGAAATGTAAGGGCTCATATAAGAATATTTATGTATATATCCATGGGAATATAATATTTTATTAGAATATATTATAAATATTCTTAATCCGATTAAATCTATCGTTGCACACTACTTTTTTTTTGTTGGACTGACAAAATGTTGATCAATTTTTTGGATTTTTAGTCTATTAAATGAAAGAAGAGTACAACTCAACCCGTTATTAGTTCGTACATCGAGTATTTTTCTGCTCGTTTTATGTATGTCGAGGTAATTACTATATAAATATATGATTTTTGCAAAAGGTTATTTAATTACCATTATTATCATATGCACATGCATCATACATTAAAAGAAAAAAGCTCGATGTTTGAGTTAAAAGTGGGTTGTGTAAGAGAAATTAAATAAAGAAATAAAATCAAGTTCTGCTCATTTATTAATTTAGTCCAATTAAATCTATAAATAAAAAAAATCAATTTTAAATGCTAATGAAATAATTTAATTTTGGAAATTTTAAAAACCAAACAAGGTCGATGGCAACTTGAAATCTGTAATTTTATGTTTGTTGCTATTAAAGACAATATTTTAATAACTGTAAATTATTTCACGTTAAGTGCCGGAAATGGTATAAGCATACCAAAAATAAGAAAAGCATACAAATTTATTATACAAATCGTAGAAGTCTGAAACACAGAGCTTCCACTGGCTTTATGATAATTAATCGAATTTTAATGGGACTCTCATTGAATTATTATTCACAATTATTTTAAAACAAGGACATGTTCCAGATATATGTTTACATTCTACATAATTATAATGGCATAAATATTTAAGTTAGCAGATTCAGTAATATTTATACTTTGTGCTCTGCTCTGCAAGAGTTTACTTTCTGCAACTGAAATATGCCCTCTGTAAGAGTATAAGAACTAATTAAGTTAAGCAACAATGACGACACAATTTACCCACATATATAAGCCAAATGCTACTGAGAATATATACGTATATTCTCAGAAACATTGTTTAAGTGCCATTCTTGGCGTATTACAAGGAAAAAGAAAACAAATTAACTGCAATCGATAGTGACCTTTAAGATCATCTTACGATTCTAGGTAAAAGGTCATGCCACGTCGTGTTGGGTTTCTACCACAGGCGGATAGCATAATATCCGCAAGGATATGTCTTTTAAAAATGAAAACGGGGAATAATTAACAGTTAACCTCTGCAATAAATATATTTTAATTCATAATTCGTATTTTAAATATAATCATATCGATAGAATAATTTCAAAGGAAATTAGTACTCTCTAAAATTGCTCTAATATATGCTTGCTTTTTTGATTATTAAGTGAAAATAGTTAAATTCTTAAGGATTAATACTAATGTCAGTGAAAATAAAGTGCTAAAGTGCTAAAAGCCGCAGAATAAAAAAACAGCCAAAACAAACAACGTTTTATGTTCAAAGACAAAAATGATAACTTTAATATTAGCCACATATTATATATAAAATGTGTATATATATATAAATCTAGGTATACTTACTTGCAGTAGTAGATTCTGCCCTCCTTGCCCACATGCGCTGTCCAGCCAGTTTTCAGTTTGTCCTGGACTGCCTCCAAATGTCGATCAATTTCGCCCCAATTTCCGATGGGCAGACTCTGTCCCAAAATAGGGCCATAGATGCCGCCAACCCCAATGCCACAGTTGCCAGCGTTGGTTGCTGCAGTTGCTGTTGTTGTTGGCGTTGACGTCGTTGTTGTCGCCTGTGTTCCGGTCTCCGACAGACTTCCGGCCTTTTCTTGTGCTACAGCGGCTGAGGCGTTCGGAGTGCGGAGCGTTGTGTAGGCGTTGTTGGCGCCACCATTCAACGTTGGCAGCGTCGTCAATTGTGGCGATGATGTTCGTGTCAGTAGCAGCGGCTTAGATCCGCCCACACTGGACGCTGTTGTGTTGGCATTTGGTAACGGATAGACATCACTATTTGAACGCCCCGAAGGCAGTAACATCATTGAAACACATTCGCTGCAATGGTACAATAGATAAATGGGAAGTTAAGTTCAGTCGTTTACCACACATAAGTTGTATTGTGCACTCATAAGAGCTGGCAACATCACATCACATTCCAAGGCGTCGACCCACATTTGTTGAAACAGGCTCGCCTGGATAGGCCAGCAGCCGGGTTGGGCTGGCTGGCCCATTAGTGAACCCATCTCTACATTGGCATTGCCTTATGCAGTTGCAGTTGTTGCAAAACAGGTCTGTGTGAGCCTCTTTCAAAATCCCAGACGTGACGTAGAGATCACAAGCTGCCACATGGTGGGATAGGTTCAGGTTCAGGCAAAAGCGGTTCGGGCCAAGTTGGGCAACTTGTTTGTAATGTTATGACACAATTTCGCATTTTCGCCAGAGACAGATGGCAAATGTCTGAGCAGGATGGCACAGCGAAACTAGTTCAACAAAAATCAATGAAATTAATCAGAGTAAGTAACGCAGAAGATTATACGGACTGCTGTTTTCCGTTAGGCTGAACGCGAAACTAGTTCGAAAGCCAAGCACGACTTGGTTTCATCTCATATTCAAACTGGAGCAGTGGATCAAGGACGAATTGGATACAATTCCTACGCATTAGCGTAGCAAATTTGGAGTAACTCTGATTAAATTGGGATAAATTGCATGTGCAATTGTGGAGAAGCCTAAAGATGAATACAGTTTTAAAACAGCATCGGATTAAAATGATAATTAATTAATATTAAAAATAAATTTGAATGTTTCTAATAATTAATAAAACATTTGTTAGTAGACATACCGACTTTTAAGTCATTTTATTTTGGATTTAAACTGTGTTGCATTGCTTTTAAGAGATTTTAAAGTTTTGAAAAGTGAATTAAGATTTTATACTTTTATTTAGTGCAAATTTTAAAACCTAAGCCAAACTTTTTTTGAGAGAAGTAACCAAAAGCTTAAACAATATTTGAGTGCTAAGCAATGCTCAAAGTTGAATCTTAACACTCTTCAACTTGAGTTAAGAACTAATTTTGTAAGCATACCAAGAAGTTGGGAGGATTATTAGCAGTGACTCTAATCCTATTTAATCTCATTCAAGAGAAGGTTGTTCAGAAATTGAACTGATGTGTGAGTGTGGGTTTATGTTTGCCCTCACAGCGACTACATTTGCAATCATTTATGTAATTTCAAACAGATTTTGCATGGTGTTTATATTTTCCAATCCAGTCTAGCCAGCAATTGGACCACAAAACTGCTGACTGCATTTCTTTAAGCAAGTTGATGTGATTTGTGGCTTGAACCGCTTTGAGTATAGATATATTTGCGCTATATGCGCCACATTTGGACGTGGCAACGCCCGGTAGTGCGGATGCACTGCGGGCACTGGATGAGTTCAAGTAAAAATCCAAAGAGCGACGACAGACGACGAGCCAAAAACAACAAAATGAATGTGGCTGTTTGCTTGCGCAATTTCATTCTGGTTGGCGTAGTCGGATCTGGATCGGGAGCTGAAGTTACAGCTGGAGCTAAGAGGCCATGGAGTGGCAAAGATGTGGCATCAATAAACAAGATACGACAGAGAGCGAGACAAGCACAGCGCAAACAGGGAGTTGTCCATTAGGCGAACAACGATGGCGATGGCGTTGGAAAGGAGCAGTAGCAGTCGTGATGACGATGGCAATGATGATGATGACAATGACGATGACGAGGCAGGAGGCGCCGCTAAGTAACGGCTTGGCAAACAACGGCATCTGGCAACTGGCATCGACATGGTCAAATTACCTCTTCTGCTGCTGCTTCCTCCTCCTCTACTTTTTTTTTCATTTGCGGTGTAAAAAGTTTTATAAACAACTTTACACACATGCACTTACGACTTACACACACACACACACAATCGAAAAACTGGAGCACTTGAAAAATGTTTTGAATTACATTTTTTGCTCAGTGCTTCTGAATTTGTCTTTGTTTGGACTGGAGCAAGGCAAGTGCGAAAATGTTGATAAAGTTTTGTCGGCTCGAACATTTTGAAAATGTTTGAAAAATAACTTGGGCCGAGTTTTGCCTTATCCTATTTATTGGTATGCACTTAGAAATTCGCAAAATATTTATTTAAGTATTTATATTGAATGGCATAAGAAAATAAATTAAAAATGGTTTACTTTCCTAAGAAGAATCGATAAAACATTTCCAAGAAAATAGAACAAACATAATAAATTATGTATTAATTTAACAAAATACAGTTATTATTTTTCACAAAAATAATAAATGAGAAATAAGACGAAGTTTATTAACAATAAATTTATTATTCCAGGATAATTATTAAAATGATGTATATATATATTTTTTAATAATTGGTATTTCTCCAAAATTCGAATTCGTTTATTAATATGGTATGAAACCCATTAATACCCATCACAACTAATCATGCTATAATATTTTAAGTTGCTTAAGACCCAAATGAAAATTTTCCTGTTAGCAAACATACAAATAAAATAATAATGGCTGGTTCCGATATGTGTAACAGTTGAGTGGCAACACAATTTGAGCATTCCAAACATGGCAAGCCGAACCCAATTCAATGTGAAACAGACACGCTGTAACAAAACTAGAATATGTATATACGTATCTATGTGCCAACATTTTGTCGTTAGTCTATAGTAAATGCTTGAATGCTGGGCCTCAGTGTAAGCGATACGAGAGCAAGATACATTTGGTCACGGAGCTCAGCGCGAAATGGCAGATGAAAGCGTCGACAACGAAGCGGAAGGGGGAGGCACTTCCAGCGAATGATTTGTGTCAACAGCAATGGCAGCTGAAATATGTGTGACTATGCAGAGAGAGAGAGAGAGAGAGACCGACATATAGAGATAGTGAGTGAGTGGGAGAGAGAGAGAGAGAGCGAAAAGTGTGGTGCTGAGATCAACAGTAGCAGCTGTCCAAGAACCAAGCAGCATCAAATAAGCCCCGGCTATGAAGTGGCCCAGTGCTGGCAATGGACAATTGTAAAATGGCATTGCGGAAATTGTGCGAGCAATGAAAAGAAATGGAAAGATGTCGTCGACGCCTCATGATGTGTGGCACCAGCAACCAACATTCTTGGCCAACTTAAAAAAACCAAAAAGAAAACAAAAAAGAAGAAAAAACAAGTCAAGCGCCGGCCGGCAAATATATTGAAAGGCACAAATTGTCCCAGTTCCAGCAGAGCAGACAAAAGCCAACCTGTGCATTTTCTGGGCCCCCATCAGCTCAGCCCGCTGCCCTCTTCAACGTACCATTATCATTATCAAGCAGCAAAAATCTCTTTAGCAAAAGAAATTAAACACAATTTGTAGCTCTGGTGCCGTTTTTTTTTATATTATTATTATTTGTACTTATTAAATACATGCAACAGCAATTTGCCAAGCGGGCATTTTCCACTATCACGCTGGCAGCAGCACTACCAGAGTATTATTTCTATGGATATGATGGCATTATGAGATATTCAGTCTCAGTTCAGCTCATTGCTTTTGCTTTTACCAATATCGTTTTATACGTATTGTTAATTGAAAAGAAATTACACTGCCAGCAGTCGCAAAATAATATAATAAAAAGAAAGTTATGTATTTGCCTCACAACGAAGTATATTATACACTGGCTTTAAGGCTCTTGTGTTTATATATATTGCAAAGGTAGAAAACTTTTATAATGCAAATAAAATTGCCATAAAATCGGTGTAAGCGTTTATTGCGTCAAATTATTTAAACGTCACATTGAAAATATGTAAGATTTTAGTTTTTCCGCAAAAGACACATTTACATATTTCAGTCTAAGCTCCGAACAAATAGCTTACAGAAAAATAATTATTAAGCCTTATTATTATATTAATGTTATTAAACAATTTGATTTATTTAATATAATTAACATTTTTTATTTTAAATAATTTAATTCGTAATATTTCAATTTTTTAAAACTCAGTTTTTATTGTTGGGTGATTTCTCTTAATAATTTAAATATGTGTTTTTCCTAGCGCCAGTTTTGTGTTTTTTTGTGGGGAGTATACATCTGCTTTTAGTTTACACTAAATAAATAATGCTTTTAATCTACATTAAATAAATAAATAAACAGACAAAAGAGTGCAATAACAATTTTGTGTGTACATTTATATTGAAGTGTGTGCACTATTATTTCAAATAGCTCTACAATTTTTGTCAGCCATTTCTATCATCAAAATTTTACAGGACGATTAATTCGTTTGCCCGCAGTTAATCCAATAGTGATTGGCAGACCTTATAATAAAATTATAATAAACTCTAGAAGGGTATTAAAATGCAAGTACAAATTGTTCAACGTAATTCATTCTGTTGTTATTGTTGTCTGTCGCTTATCTCGATTACATTTTACTCGAAGTAAAAGTGGAAAATGTTGCTGTCCATTTTAACATGGCATGGCGACTAGACCCTCGCCCAAAATGCTTGGCAAAAATGAAAGCCAAATATTTCACAGATATATTCCGTTTGGAATCGAAAAGTTGACATGTCCAAGCCATTTAGCCAAATCGTTATAACTGCTCGCACATACCTGTATGTACACACACATCCACATACACACCTATGTGAATGCATATGCATTCATTCATTAATATTGCCGCCCGTAACTTCCATATAGTCATCGATATATCGTGTGGCTGCTTTCCGATCGTCTTGCGGTTGAACGTGATTTTAAAAATGTCACGCACACCTACCGACTGCGACGTTGCTATTGCCAGAAATAAATAAATAACTTTTTAACCGCTTGGCGAACAAGCGGTGAAGCAGGAAAACCCATAATGAAACGCGGTTCGCTAGAAACGTTGATAAGAAACTCATTCATAAAACTTGACTTTCGCCGTAAAACGCGCAGACAACGACATAAAGTTGATGTGAGCACACAACAGCAGTGTGATTGCATTAAAAATGAAATCTACCCCTATTCAAAATTGTAAAGCAGACAAGAAAAACACATCAGAATCTGAAAGAGATTTTTCATGATACTTGAAGTTG